ATAGCAGAGTTTATAATGTATTTGTGTGTGTTATCCTTACTTCAATTACTGACAACCCTAGTATAGTTTTCTTAGAGGTGGTTATCTTATTAGCTGAGTTTAAACTGCTCAGAACTAATTAATAATCTGTAAAGTGGGTTGTTTTTAAAAAAATTTTATTTTAGCATTTCCTTGCTTTCTGGCACCACAAGATATTTCAAGTTCATCTTGTAGTTATACCCTGTCCCATCTCCAGAATCAGCCATTTCTGCCAGGGGCACTTTCTTTTTTTAAATATATTTTATTGATTTTTTTTACAGAGAGGAAGGGAGAGGGATAGAGAGTTAGAAACATTGATCAACTGCCTCCTGCACACCTCCTACTGGGGATGTGCCACAACAATGGTACATGCCCTTGACCGGAATCGAACCTGGGGCCCTTCAGTCTGCAGGCTGAAACTCTGTCCACTGAGCCAGACTTTATTTATTTATTTTTTTGGATCTTTTTTTTTTTTAAAATCTTTAAATTCTTTATTAGTTAAGGAATTACAAATGTGTCCTCATTCCCCCCGCCCCATTAACTCCCATCCTCCCCTCCCCGCCCCCCCATGCTCTCATCCCTCTGTTGTCCATGTCCATTGGCTTGTGAGCCAGACTTTTTAAAGAGTGATATTAGAAACCACGGTCTGGGCACTAGGTGTGCTTATTGCTATTGGATGTCATTGCCTCTGGGGTTTCTCAGCCGACAGCAGGAAATATATGTGAATATATTAACCTATATATGTATACATATCTACAAATATATGTATAAAAGGCTAATATGCTAAGTGTCCAACCATTCGACTGTTTGACCATTTGACCGGTAGCTATGATGCACACTGACCACCAGGGGGCAGACACTCAACGCACAGGCATGGAAACCTGGAACAGACTGATGAATCTCTGGGGGGAGGGTGGAGGGTGGGAAGAGATTAACACATTAAGCATCCTGTCAGTCACCGGTGACTGACTATACTTTCCTTCTGGAAGACAAAATAGGCTGGGCGCTTAATGTCTTAACCAAAGATCTTATATGCTTACTAGAGGCCTGGTGCATGGATTCGTGCACCAGTGGGGTCCCTCGGCCTGGCCTGCGGAGATCGGGCTGAATCCATGAACTGGGCCTCTGACATCCCCCGAGGGGTCCTGGATTGTGAAGGGGCACAGGCCAGACCAAGGGACCCCATTGGTGAACGAATCCGTGCACTGGGCCTCTAGTTTATATATAGTACATGTATATAAAAAACATATACATCTCTATATTAAGCTCAACATGAGTGTTTACTGATGTTCTCAACTCTAATCCAGTAATACAGATCATTGTAGCCTTTCGCCTTGCTTGTATATAACTTCCCACTCCAACAGTGAGGAACCGACCTCTCACCATCCACCCTCTGTTTCATCGTTCAGTTCCAGTGTGCGTGTATGGTGCTTGCAGATTCGTAAAGCCATGCCCCTGGGGAAACGGCTTTTCCAAGCAGGGTACAGCGCTACGTGTAGCTCCTTCTGCCTTTAGTCTTGTGCGCTCCCTCCTCTCCAAGATTGTGAGGTCGGCATCTTCCCATCCTCTTCAACGAGGCTTTTCACACATTTACAGTACAGTTCGGTTCTTCTGTCCGTCTGTATTACATCTCCGATCTAAATAACTTTTCTAAAAGTTCACATACATAAAAGTTCATTTTTTTTCTGTAAAGTTCTATGGATTTTTAGACAGGTATTTTTATTGATTTATTGTTTTGACAAAGTATTGTGTCATGTATTCACGGTTACAGCACCATACAGAATAGTTTCACTGCCCTAAAACTTCCCTTTGCTTCGCTTATTCAGCCTCCCTCTCCTCCCAACCCCCTGGCCACCACTGATCTGTTTACCACCTCTGTAATTTTGCCTTTTCCATATCTGAGGCCATTTTGTTTTACAGAGGAAAATGGGTCCCCTAACTCCTCCCAGTGGGTGATGTACACAGATGTCTGCTGGTGGAAACCAGACAGAACAAAGTGGTTTGGGGTCTCATTGTTCAGTTTGAAGGTTTCACTTTGTGGCCCTATTTGCAGTCTTGTGCCTCACTCCACTTCCCACTGTCCCAATGGTCCCAAGTCCAGAGGCTGTTGGGTTCAACCTCCCCAGAGAATAAACACAGCCTCCTGTAGGGGTGGGAGTGGTGGTCACTCGTTGGTCTAGGTTGAGGGGCACGCTTGGGGCCCACCTGCTTTTTTATAGAGACTTTTGGCCAATCTCCTGTTTTCGCTCTGTGTTGCCTCTCGCTTTTCAGCGGTCGCTGGGCCTCCGGCTCCTGAGCCGTTCTAGAGTTACAGATACCGCTGCTCACTCCTCAGCAGGTCACCGTCTGCAGGCACGCGGGCGTCCGTGCTCCTCTGCTGAGCCACTCCTTTCCTGCTGGCTTTCTGTCTTCCAAGATTACGTTCAGATCTCTTAACCCGTTTCATTTCTCTTTGTCTCAGTGGGGTTATGCCATGTTTAACCAGAAGTTTCATTTGCTTTTAGAAATTTGCTATTTTGTGCAATTGTAATTACTCTGAAAAAGGTTAAAAAGCCACATTTCCTGGTATGATTTGTCTTTCCTTGATATGTATTTTGGCAATACAGCTCTTGAGGTACAACAGAGTTGAGATTTTTTAAAAAGTGTGCAATTGATTTCCCCATGAGTAGTCCCTGTCTTTTCATGGGCCAGGAATAAACCTATAAAAAAAATGATCAGGTCCTGACTGGTTTGGCTCAGTGGATAGAGCGTTGGCTTGCGAACTGAAGTGTCCCAGGTTCGATTGCGGTCAAGGGCATGTACCTTGGTTGCGGGCACATCCCCAGTGGGGGGTGTGCAGGAGGCAGCTGATCAATGTTTCTCTCTCATAGATGTTTCTAGCTCTCTATCCCTCTCCCTTCCTCTCTGTAAAAAAATCAATAAAATATATTTTTAAAAAAAATGATAAGTACCATTCTTTTTTTTTTTTTTAAATTAAATCTTTATTGTTCAGATTAGTACCATTCTTTTGAAACTTGCCGAGGTTAACATTTTTGCTTCATACGTGGTTGCTCTTATGGAGACATAACAGTGACTGTCACTGTTGGCAGGATTTGCAAGTTTCTACATTGACATTTATGGAAGTTTGCTTTCTGACAATGTGTTTCTCATTTAAAAAAAAATACTTTTATTGATTTCAGAGAGGAAGAGAGAGGGAGAGAGAGAAATATCAGTGATGAAAAAGAATCATTGATCAGCTGCCTCCTGCACGCCCCCTCCTGGGGACCGAGCCCATAACCTGGGCATGTGCCCTGACGGGGAACTGAACCATGACCTCCTGGTTCATAGGTCAACACTCAACCACTGAGCCACGCCGGCCAGGTTGTGTTTCTCATTCTTTTGCAGCAAGTGGAATACCAGCAGGTCAGACTGACTGCTGGACAACTTAACTTTGGACTTATCCTTAAAAAGAATATGGGGCAGAACCCAAGCTCTATTTTCTTTAGTAAAGGAAAATAATATTGATAAAATTCCTAACTGTTCCTATAATTCCAGTAAATGGAACTGATACCTCTAATGGTTTATGGTTATGTTTTACTGAATGCACTAAACGGCTGCATGCCTTTTCTTATCCTAAAGGACCAAATGGGATGAGAGGAAGGAGCAATTTTAATAAGGGTTCCCTAGCCCACCATGGACCATATGCCTTCCCTTATGTGGTCTCATTTACTCTCATTCTCCCACTGAGGTTGCTGTGCACCCTGTACAGGTATGAACTTGGGCCTTCTACTTCAAGGATGGCAGAGCCAAAGTGGGAGCCCACTGCCTGTGCACTTGCCACTGTGCTGCCAGCTTTGGGCTGGGTGGCCAGCTTAGGTCCCATGGTTCCCTGGCTTTGCATCCAGGTCAGTGAGCGTCAGCAGCATGGTGATTAAGCCAGGACTCTGGAGCCAGACCACCCACATTTAAGTATCTATTCCACCATGTTGGGCTCTGTGCCTTAGTTCCTCCATTTGTGAAATGGAGAGAATGATAGTTGCTGTGGGAATTAATATTAGAAACCACCTAGTAAACACTATCCAAGTGTTTGCTAAATAGGTAAATTCTATTGGACTTTTAGTCCTCTCACCTGCTCAGTGTTTAAAGGAAAGCAAATATTTTCTTTAGGCCTTGCCAAAGGCGGGGCTGCGCGGACACAATCCTGTGTAGAGGTGAGAGCATTTCCGTTCTTACATGGAAGATTTGGGGCAGATGGGTAACACACTTTAACTGAAATGTCACAGTGCCACCCATCTGAATCCAAGATATGCTTACACCCAGATATCCTTGAACAGCTACATAGAGCTTTAATAAGGGTGAGGATAACCAGACAAGAAATGGTAAAATAATTGAATTATTTTTGTCTTTATTCTACAGTGAGGGGGCAGAGCTGGATGACTCCAAATGCATGTGATCATTATAATCACTAAGCGTCCTGATTTAGTAGGCTAACTCGGACCTATATAATGTAGATGCCGAAGATGCCAATCTGCTTAGAAAAAAAGCGGAATGAGGTAACAGATAAAAATCAGCTGTATTGTTTGCCACTAAAATTCCAAAGGCTACCCAAAGGCGCACACAAGCCACCAGGAGATGGCAGATACCTTTGGTTATGGCTCTGTTTCCTTTTGTCCACTGGCCATTGTAACCTGTTGTCCCTGTATTGAATAAATCAATGGCAGTTGGTGCCATACTTTAAAAAAAAAGTATTTATTGATTTTAGAGAGAGAGAGAGAGAAAGAGAGAGAAACATCGATGTGAGAGAGTAACTGATCAGTTGCCTCCTGCATGCACCCCAACTGGGGACCCAACCTGCAACCTGGGCCTGTTTCTTCCCTTCTTTTTTTTTCTTGTAGTTTTTTTTCTTTATTGATTAAGGTATTACATATGTGTCCTTATCCCCCCCATTGCCCCCTCCACCCCCCCCATTCATGCCCTCACCCCCCTGGTGTCTGTATTCATTGGTTAGGCTTCTATGCATGCATACAAGTCCTTTGGTTGATCTTCCCTTCTATTGAGGAGGAGAGGTGAGGTAGGATTGAGGTGGAGGTGCCCAGCTGATCTTCATTAATATCTGGTCAGTTGCTAATTTTAGGAAGTGGTTCATTAGTATTTGGGAAGTATGGTCAAGAATTTCTTCATTCGCCTTTTCCCCCACTGGAAAGACCCTGTTGAAATGACATGCCTGTACTTAGTTTCCCAAGTAGTCAGAATTCTGCTGCTACTAATAGTTATTAGTGGAGCATTTATTGCCAGGAGAAAGAACAGAGGCAATATTACGTATTAGTTAAGAGTTGAGCCCTGGTATCGAACTCCTGGGTTTAAGTCCTCACTGTATCATTTACAAGCTTTGCGAATTTGAGTAAGTCACTTAACCTTTAGGGGCCTCAGTGTTTTCATCTAAAAAATGTGCATAGTGAGTGCTCCATCCATGTTAGCTGCTGTTAACACCATTGTTATTGTTAATGATTTTGTTAGCTGACCAATGACTGGGACCAGTGCAAGGCCCCTTTCTGGGTCTTTCTCAAGTATGATGAGTGAGATGACCAAATAGCTTCATGCTATGAGACGCTTCCCATCTCTAACTTCAGTTTTTCTCTCTGGCAGCAGCTTCCCAGTGAGTACTGATGACTTCAGTTCATTTTTTCTCTTGCATATTTTTTTCTGGGTCACTACCTGTGAAATCAAGGTTTTCTGGCTTAACATTGAGAATAGATAAACCTTAATCGATTATTTTCCATTACCATGGACCATTAGCTAAGAGATCTGATCTATCACAAATGGAAGAATTTGTTCCAACATTCTTGAAATCTCCCTGCCAGGACAATGTTTAATATAAATATTTTATTGTTGGTGAAGACAGTGCTGCAAAGGAGCAGAGAGTCACAGAGTTATACTGCGAGATTGAGGAGAAAAGGGCTGAAGAGGAAAGCCTGAGGTGGGCATTTGCAGAGCAGCTCAGCTGTTGAAAGTTGGTATTAACACCCAACTTCTCAGAAGCTTTTCCTCAGCCGAGGGGGCTTGGTGGGGCACTGGCTTGAGAGTGTTGCTTAGCAATGAGATGTCAGAGTCAAGCAACCCATCCCCTGCTTCGCCTCCACCAGCCCTCAGCTGCCACCCTGAGGCTCCTATTAGACAATCAAGTGTGCTGGGAGGGAGGGACCAGAGAGAGGGGGCAAAGTTTAGTCATTGAACAAAGCAGCCTGGAAGTATTTAATCTGTAGACCCAGTTCCCCAGCGCCTCCAGCCCGAACTGGAAGCGGGCAGCACTCTGGAGACCAGCGAGTCAACTGCACAGAAGTCTCTGACCACCTCAGGAGAAACCACACTTGGGGAAAATGTTTGCGGTGCACTTGATGGCGTTTTACTTCAGCAAGCTGAAGGAGGATCAGATCAAAAAGGTAAGGACTCAGGAGGCTGAGAGCGGTCTCATTCTGCACCGACAACACGGGTCCCTGCCTACACCTGCGGGGATTGAGAGCTTATTAGAAAACGGGGAGCACAGGACCAGTAAAACACTCATGGAAGGGGAAGAGGACATTGCCTTTGCCCGGAGCCTGGATCTCACTCAGAGCTTCCTGGCGGATATCCGATGGGAAGGGGATGAGGAGAGAGTCTTCAGTCCCCGTCTAAGTGGTTTGGGGTAAGGGGTGTATGAGAGGCGAGGGTAAAAGGAAAGGAGAGTCATTCTTAAAGAAACGTTGAGAACTTGTAATTTATGTTACTTTTCATGTGCTTGAAAGAATAGAAGGAAGTCACCAGAGGGATGTGAGGTTTAATGTACAGTCATTGAAATACTTATTTGCATGTGCTGTTTGCCAGTGGTAGGCTACTAACGGCGTGCATTGTTTTGCCACTTTGTCCAAGAAACCTGCCTACAAAATTCATTCCAAGGTGACTGGTTAAAAGTTGCCAAGGCTCACCTGGGGGCCATCAGCATTTTCCCAGCTGGCACGAACTCAGCCTGTCACTCTGGCCACGCCAGCCACCAGCTCAGGGAAGTCCTCCCCGCAGGTGGACTTAGCCAAGGTCACCCAGGTATTTAAGGTGGTGCTGGGGACGAAGCCGAAGGGCTGGCTCCTCCTCCTGCATCCCTTCCCTGGTGCCCCGATGCCTCTGGGCTTTTCCAACAGACTCTCACTACATCCTGCTCATTAGAGAGTTGGGTTCGAGGTTATAGCAAATGTTAGAATATGATAAACTCACCAGGTTTAACCTGTCCTAGTTTTCACTCGTTGCTTAGATTCATGAAGCCCTTTATGGCTTCTGAAGGAGGTGGGATGTGCTAGGCAGCCCTGCTCAGGACTTCACTTTCTGCTCTTACCTGCTCAGTAATGATGAAACGGGCCCCAAGGGGAGTCTTTGGACCTTGAACCTGTGGTTCTGCAAATGAGTTTCCTTTCCTTGGGCCTCTGCGGTGGTTCATCTTTCGTTACAGCCTCAAATCAGGCGGGTCTGATTGTCCACAGCCTCGTGCAGGCTCAGGAGGCCCCTCTGAGTGGAAACGCAGCCTCCACTGGGTGGTTTTTCTGGCTGGAGGGTCAGCCTCTGTCAAGGCCCGGAGCTGACCTTCCCCGCCCTGTGGGAGGCAAGAAAGCTTGCGAGAGTGACTGAGAAGGGACAGCCGGGAACACTCTCTAGCCACCTTAAGCCTGTGACTCCCCAGGTGTCAGGAGTCTATGGGAGGCTGGTTTATGGGTTGCCAGGATGAGTCACAGCTCTGAGAACACAGCTCCATGTGCTGGAAACACACCTGGTCAAAAGGCACAGGCTCTCCCACTCCCGGCAGGTAGCCTGTCCCCTCTTTCATTCCCGTGCTTCCTGCCTCTGGAGCTGCCAAGATCCTGAGCCCCACTTGCTGCTAGGGTTTCTATTCAGACCCTGGAACAATTTTTTAAAAACTCCCTATACCAACATTAAAACAGAAACAAAATACAACCTAATGGATGGAAGAGAAGGAATGAGGGAAGAGAAGGAAGGAGGGAAGGAAGGAAGGAAGGAAGGGGAAGGGAAGGGAAGGAAGGAAGGCTACTCTGATAGCTTCAATATATTGACTTTTTTTTTAGAAATTTTTTTTTTTAAATATATTTTTTATTGACTTCAGAGAGGAAGGGAGAGAGAGGGAGAGATAGAAACATCAATGATGAGAGAGAATCATTGGTTGGCTGCCTCCTGCACGCCCCCTACTGGGAATGGAGCCTGCAACCCAGGCATGTGCCCTTGACTGGAATCGAACCCGGGACCTTCAGTCCGCAGGTTGACACTCTATCCATTGAGCCAAACCAGCTAGGGCTATATTGACATTATTTGACCTACAGATAACATTGGGCTGGGCCTGGTCACTGACCCGTAAATTGCCCACTCAAAGAAAAGGACTGGTTAGATTTTCAAAGTGTTCTTTTTACAGTTTAGAAAGTCAACATTACGAAAAGTGGAAATGTCACCTTTAATCCCACCCCCCTCACAGCTGTATTTGTGTGTGGAAGCCCGAGTAGTCTTTTCTCACAGCAGATGTTCTTACATTTATATTGTACATACAATTCTGGTCGTGTGTCCTTCGCTTACTGTTAGATTGTAACCACTTATGTACATTTCTCCATTTCTTTATGATTATTTTAATATCTAATATTTAATCAAGTTGGCTATGCCATAACTTTCCCCTTTTGTTGGACAGGCTATTTTCAAAAATATATTTTTTTAACAATTAAAAAATGACTGGCTCAGTGACTAATGTCAACCTATGAACCAGGAGGTCATGGTTCAATTCCCAGTCAGGGCACTTGTCCGGGTTGCAGGCTTGATTCCCATAGTGGGTGTGCAGGAGGCAGCCCATCAATGATTCTCTCATCACTGAGATTTCTCTCTCCCTCTCCCTTCCTCTCTGAAATCAATAAAAAATATTTTTAAAAATTGCTATAATAAACATCCGTTTGTATTTAATATTCTCCACCTTTGGGATTATTTCCTAAGGATGGATTCCCAGAAGTGAAATCACTGAGTCAAAGAGTTGAACCTTTTTATGACTTTTTTATTATTGTTAATATATTGTTAATATATTTTTATTGATTTCAGAAAGGAAAGGAGAGGGGGAGAGAGATAGAAATATCAATGATGAGAGAGAATCCTTGATTGGCTGCCTCCTACACGCCCCCTACTGGGGATTGAGCCCGCAACCCTGGCATGTGTCCTTGACTGGAATCGAACATGGGACCCTTCAGTCCGCAGGCTGACGCTCTATCCACTGAGCCAAACCAGCTAGAGCTTTTTATGACTCTTGATTCTTAATGTGGGACCTTTGGACTATGTGGTCACTAAAGTTCCCTGCAGCTCCCCCATCTGTCATTCCCTAAGCTCTGAGCTTACATTTTAAGTTTGCTCTTCCTCCGTGCTGCTTGCTGGCTCTTTCGTTTAGAAGATATCCCACGTCTAGTTTGTGAGTCATTCCAAAGTGGGCCTAGTTACGCCACCTAAGCGCCTCCCTCAGTGCCTGAAACATGTATGCCTGGTCACACAGGCCCAAAGTCTCCTATCTGAGTCTAAAATACAAGGTCTCCCCCCCCCCCCCCCGCCCCATGTACGTTTCATTCTTTCCTTCTGAATAAATTAGAAACTGTTCTTAGTTGACACTCTTTCTGTCCTAACTTTAACTTATAGGAGCAGCAGGAGCAGTAAGTAGCCCAGAGCCCTCGGTGATGATTAAACTGTAGCTTGCAAATGGCCAAACAGCCTCAGAACCATTGCTTACACGGAGGGATGGCCTGGGGTGCCCAGAGAAGTTCTCTGAGGTTGAGCAAAAATGAGCAATAGGCTTAGGGGCACTGTCTGAGGGGCCCTGGGCGATAAAGGGGGCAATGTGGTTCTTGTGCACGTCGCACCCTTCCCAAGCCCCAATTACTCGGGTCACGTCCCTTTTGTTGGTTTCCCATGTGCGTGGCAGTGCCAACCAATTAGTCATGAACAGACTCCGGGCGAACGGAAGTCCTTAATGAAGCGTGACCTGGTTCTGTCCTGTCTTCTCAACACGCTGAAAGCCCGATTGTCCTGTTGTGGTAACGGCCCCTGAGGGTTTTCTGGCCTCTCTTTGGCCCCAAGTCTCTGGAGCCGTGGTTTGTTTCACTGGCTTGGTGTCCGTATTGGCTCCGACTGAGCTGGGATGCCGGCCTCAAGGCCTATCTGATGGTTGGGCACCTGTCCTGCGATGAAGGTTCATGTGGCCCTTGTTTTCTTGATATAATTAGTCTGTTGGGCTTGTGGTCCTGCACGAAGTTGTGAAGCAAAACCAGGCCATGTGGTGAGGACGTGGGGACTGCACTGTAGTCCCAGGGCTGCCACGGACCTGCAGCTGCTCAGGGGCTCTGAGCCTGCGAGGCCTCCTCTCAATAGGGGCTAGGATTCCTGCCTCACCTGGCGCTCAAGGAATGCCATGGAGAGCAGGTGAGGGACATACGTGAAAGCACTTCCTCAAGGGACGCCATGGAGAGCAGGTGAGGGACACACGTGAAGTACTCTGTAGGCTGCAAGCACGTACTTAGCCTTAGATGAAAGTGTGGGAGGGCAATTCGTCCAGAAACCTGCTGGGATCAAGTCTTGTGACCGGGACGGAGAGAGGGGCCGCTCAGTATGCAAAGTAGGGGTGCAAGTGCAGGCGCCTATGCCACTGCCCCTCTTCCTGCCCCGGTCAGTAATCCACCCCAGGGAGCTTGGGGACCCAGGTTGCCCCACCACATGATGCACAGGAGGGAGGAGGCTGTTTTGCCATTCTTGTTTCTTTATAAATATGTTTTTATTGATTTTAGAGAGAGATGAAGAGAGAAGGATAGATAAAAACATCATTGATGGGCTGCCTCCTGCACATCCCCTACTGGGGATCAAGCCTGCCACCCGGGCATGTGTCCTACCTGGGAATCAAACCAGTGACCTCTTGGTTCATGGATTGATGCTCAACCACCGAGCCACACCAGCTGCGCTGTTCTGCCATTCTTGATGGGACACTGTTACCTTCAAGTGGACGGAGCAGAACCAGTGATTTTTATAACTTCCCTCCATTGGGGGATCCTGGTTACCTGAGTGGTATCATGAACAGACTCAGGGCAATTTGAGCTGGCTTTAGAAATTAAACATCTTAATTAGAATAACCTCAGTTAAAAACAATGGGGAGGGGACTGTTCCCACGCCCCCAACATGGGAGTCCGTTTTGTGGGACTCTTCCCCCTCCCTGCGTGGGAGCCTGTACTTGTTCTCCAATAAATTTCCACCTTTGCGATACCAAAAAACACCCCCCAACCCCCTCCCCGCCCAAAAAAAAAAACAACAACCAACAACAATGGAGATGTGAAGGACTAGATTTTAGAGAGTGCATCTGGAAACTGAATTTAGCTCTGAGTTTCCTGGCAGCCGTAAACAAAGGGAAACATGTTTGGATATATAGTGTCATCATTGGCTGAAAGCAAGCTCCCGCGTGTAGGAGTCCCAGGTTCTAGCTATAGCTAGTCTTTTCCAGAGGAGAGACAATGGGACAGTGGTGAGGGCTCGGAACTGGGAATTAGAAACCCTGAATCTTCTTAGTTTTTGTGCCTCCACTGTCCCAATCAGAAAAATGGGGGAATCGGTTCTTCCTCAAAGCTTGCCCTTTGGAGGAATAAATCCCACCTCCCCAGCCTTCCATTCCATTCTGTTCTCCCAGCTCCCTTCCTTGTCTCCAGCTTGAGGATCCGCATCACTAAGCGATCCCCTTGTGACATGGTCATGGGCGTGGGAATGTGCAGCAGCCACCCCTGGCCACCCCTGTCCTTCCAGGTGGACAGGTTCCTGTATCACATGCGGCTCTCCGACGAGACCCTTCTGGACATCATGGCGCGGTTCCAGGCTGAGATGCAGAGGGGCCTGGGGAAGGACACCAACCCCACAGCCTCCGTGAAGATGCTGCCCACCTTTGTCAGGGCCATTCCGGACAGATCAGGTGAGGGGCTGGGGCTGCCAGGGACCTGATCCCCCTGGGTCCTTCCTGGCCGATGGACCTGAAGTTTGCTCCTGTGCCTTGACTTACCTCTTCAGCCCTCTCCACATCATCCCCACCTCCGACGCTCTATGCTTAGTCACACTCAATACCAAAAGATTTGAACCAAGGTTCAAATGTGCCTCCCTTTCTCTCTGCCCCTTAGCTCCACACACTCTGCTCCCTCTCCTGCCGGGACATCTCAGCATTCTTCCCCTGGGGCACCCCAGCTCAGCTTTTCTCTCTCAGTGGGGAGTTCCCTGCCTGCATCTGGGAAGCACCCCCATGCTGGGCTCGGTGCCTGCCACCTGCTGCGTGTGCGAGTCTCCCCAGTGTCCTAGTCCTCGCACAGTGCCTGGTGCATACTGGGCCCCGAAATGTTTGTTGACTGCATATAAATGGCATTTCCTTCCTCGGTATTATTTCACTCCAAAGCATCGAGAGTCTAGGCCAGCCATGGGCAAACTACAGCCCGCGGGCCGGATCTGGCCCGTTTGAAATGAATAAAACTATTGAAAAAAAAGACCGTACCCTTTTATGTAATGGTGTTTACTTTGAATTTATATTAGTTCACACAAACACTCCATCCATGCTTTTGTTCCGGCCCTCCAGCCCAGTTTAAGAACCCATTGTGGCCCTCGAGTCAAAAAGTTTGCCCACCCCTGGTCTAGGCTAATAGTAAATATTAGAAGATGCCATGACGTAGTAGAAAGAATATTAAATGATGATATTCAAGAAACCCGGGTTCTAGGCCCAGCTCTGCCGTTCCTCAGTGACCGTTCACAAAAGGTCTAGTCTCAGTTCTCTGTCTGTAAAATGAGGGAGGTGGCCTCTGTATACATTTTCTGTTGCTGCTGTAATAAGTTACCACACATTTAACAGCTTGAAACAACACAAATTTATTCTCTTTCATCTGTGGAGGTCAGAGGGGGAGTGGGTCGCCAGGGCCATCATCAAGGTGTGGGAAGGGTTGAGTGCCCTCCGGGGCTCAGCGGGGGGGGGGGGGGGGGGGGGGGGGGGGAGCCTGTCCCTTGCCTTCTCAGCTGCAGGAGGCTCCTGCGTTCCCCGCTCCAGCCTCTCTCCACCTCCCAGCCAGCAGCGTAGCACCTTCCAATATGTCTCTGACTCGCCCTTGCGCCTCTTCCCCACGTAAAGACCCTGTGATTTACCTGATGCCCCTCAGATCATCCATGATCTCCCAACCTCGAGCTCAACCGATGAGCAACTCTGATTCTGTCTGCAACCTCAATCCCCTCTTGCCATGCTAATGTATCCACAGGATCCGGGGATTAGGATGTGGGCCTCTCTTTGCTTACCACAGTCTAGAGACCTCTAGAAGGAATTTTGAGGTTCCATACACTCCTCTATTCTCAGCCTCTGGGAAGCCATAGGAGGAAGGAACTGGTGTCTGCCAGGCACCTCCTGTGGTCCTCACTGTCTCACACAGTCCCCACAAGAACCCCGTGGTCAGATGAGATACCGAGGACCAAAGGGGTTCCCCAGTGTCAGGGTCCCAGTGCTCCAACCAAGCTCCAGCGGGGGCTTTGGGCTCTTGAAGAAGCCGGGATTAAAGTTTGGGGGCCTTCAGGGCCTGTGATTGGACTAGCCAGGTTCTGGGCCCCTTTGGGACAATGCCTGGGTCAAAGTCGTTAGGCTCTGCGGGTTGAGGGGCCCTGGGAGCTGTGATGAGAGAGACCTGTTCCCTGGCAGGTGGGTGGGTGCGTAGGGTGGGCAGTGTACCGCCTGGAGGAGCATAAGCTTTGGAGAGAGACTGTTCTGCTTTGAAATCTTGCCCGGTTCCTGGTACTTTTGCTCTGAGAGTGCCGAGGGGACTGTGGTCCTTGACGGGTCACCCAGCTGCTCGGAGAAGCACCTGAGTCATGGGGTGTGTGGGGGGAGGCACCAGGGCAAAGTCCTCCTGGCTTCCTGTGCTGGGCTCCTCCTGCAGAGGTGTGTCCCCAGAGGCATCAGAAAGTGGCCTTGGATGGTCTGGAGCCTGCGGCCGGATGTGCCTTCCAGAAGGTTTGAAAGTGAAACTGACCAAGTTTCAGACACCCCCTCCTCCTCAGGCCAGGAGACACACCTATGCTCTTCCCTGTCTCCTCAATAGCCCTTACCGTGACCCTGCTCCAGGAGGTCCCTGCACCCAGAGGCCTGGGCACGTCCACTGCACTCCTGTCCTCACCAACTTCAGGGTCATTAGGAGCAGATGAGGCAGGGGTGTTTCAAAGTCTCCAGAATGTTGTTCCAGTAACTCTGTGAGCTGGTGGTGGCATTTCATGATTCCTCACCAACAAGCAGAACTCTGCTGATCCCTCAGGCCTGCATTTCAGCAATGTATACAGTTTCCGGAGAAATCCCTCTGAGTTCTCCCACTGCGGGGCCCGCGCCTTTCATCCGAACCCACCCGAGACGGGTGGCCTGTGTGAGCTTTAGTCCCAGTGTATCAGCCAGGGAGCCGCAATGGGCTGTTCTTACAAAAGTGCCTTAAAAGTGGTGTTATTGCAACACGTCAGTTGACTAGCAATTTCCCTCTGTGTCTATTTCACAAGGAGTGAATCTGAATGGCCAGCTGGGGCCAGGGCTACAGTCAGGAGTCAGGTTTTCCCAGGCCGGGGGTCACATGGCACAAACAAGGCCACTTGGGGGCCTGGGTTTCTGGGCATGGCGTTTCACTTACGTGTGCCTTCGGCATACATCATGACACATGCCGGGCACATGCAGCCACTTCTCAGGCGATTTTATAGAGAGGCTTGCTGGTTCAAAGGTTTGCACACCAGAGTTCTCATCCCACACCTGCGGCTGACGCTGAAGACACTGGCAGGGTCCTGGGCAGGACTTCTGTCTGGATCCCAAGGTGAAGTCGCTAAGAGGGGCTGTCATTTCCCCTTTTATTAATTGCATCTGCCTTGCGCTGGGCTGGGTGGTGTTATTTTCTCATTTTGAAGCAACTCTGGCCCCAAATATTGAGCATCCTTGGCCCTTAAGGGCCATCATTTGGCTCCCGTCTCCCTTCCCTCCTGGAGCATTTTGCTTCTGCCCTTGAGACAGAGGCTTGTATGGGGCTGTTTCTCTTCCCTGCACTCCCCCTCCCTTCCCTCCATGCCTTATCTAGAATAGGCCCCGCTCTCAAGGCCCACCTCTCCTACCACCTGCCTGAAGAGTGGGCAGGCCATGAGAGACTTGGGTCACCCCTCCCCCTCCTCCCTCTTCTCCCCCTCCTTCCCCTCTTTGCCTCCTCCCCCTCCTCCCCGCTTTCTGCCCCTTACTGGGAGGGCTCAGGTCAGTGGCTGCACTTCTGCAGCCCCAGTGAGTGTGCAGTGACACCCAGCTCACACCTGGGGTGGTTGTAAGACTCAGTGACATTTCTTACCTGTCCAACTTCTCATGCACATCTTGCCATGTAGCAGACCCTCCATATCTGAAACTTTTTTGTTTGTTTTTTAATAGAAAATGGGGAGTTTCTTTCCCTGGATCTTGGAGGATCTAAGTTTCGAGTGTTGAAGGTGCAAGTCTCTGAAGAGGGGAAACAAAAGGTCCAGATGGAGAGTCAGTTCTACCCAACACCCAATGAAATTATCCGCGGGAACGGCGCGGAGGTGCGGCGCAGGGCTCTGCGGAGTGCGGGGTGGGGGTGGGGGGGGGGGCCTTGTCTGTGAGCGGCTGCGCCGTAGCCCAGGGTCCTGTGCTTTCTCTCCTCTGCAGCTGTTTGAATACGTGGCTGACTGTCTGGCAGATTTCATGAAGACCAAAGGGCTGATGCATAAGAAATTGCCCTTGGGCATGACCTTCTCTTTTCCCTGCTGGCAGACTAAATTGGAAGAGGTAAGGCCTGGCTGGGGAGGGGAGCAGCTGTGCAGGGTTTGGAGTTTGGGGCTGGAGAATGTGTAGGAGTCAGGCTGGGAACAGGGGGCATCAGCAGGAATTCTCTTGCTTGTTATTTTCTTTTTATTCCTGTAAACGATGAAGTGAAAATGTGAGACAGAGCACTGGTTAACGTGCTGCCTTGATTTTACATCCACGTGGGCACAGCACAGGAATGAAGCGGTTTTCACCCGTAGCTCAGTGGTTCTCAGACCTCGGCTGTGTCAGAATCTGCTGGAGGGCTTGTTAAACTCGGGTTCTGGGCCCCAGCGGGGCTTCTTAATCAGTGGGGGCATTTCCAACAGGTTCCCATGTGATCAGGATGCTGCAGGTCTGAGATAAGAGGGGGAAGGCTCAGGGAATCTCTCACCTCTGCACCCTTAGGAGGAGGGTCGAGGTAGGGTCGCCGGGGTGACAATGTTGTGAGCAGACACCTCACCTGAGATGTGGTCTCAGCTGCGCCACTAGCCTGCTGAGGGCTCAGGCAATTCATCTACATGTGCCTCCAATTTTCAATTTAATAGGGAGATGTCAAACCCAATTTTATGTTCATCTGTGAAAATAAGTAAGGTCCATGTAAAAGGAGAATAAACTTTCTGTGGCCAGGGGTCACAGTCAAGAGTCAGGTCTTCCCGGGCCACACCTGTCTGGGGTGGGGGCCCATGATCCCCTGCGGCACGTCCCACAGACCTGGCTTTGAATCATTGTTTGGAAAGTTGTGTTGCCTGGGCCATTCCGTGGCTTATTGAGCCCTTGGTGTTCTCATCTGTAAAACACGGTTCATGGTATTTACCTGCTGGGCCAGGTAAAGCCCAGATAAAACACCTGCAACGCCCAGCACTGTGCCTGGTGCCCAGTGGTTGCTGCAGGTGAGGACGGCTGTCCCTGTGGGACTTTCTCTCCCCGCGTTGTACCTTGTCCCCGTTTCTGCGATGCTTCTGGAGGGCGGCGCTGTTTTGTGTTGTTCTTCCTCTCCGCCCCAGGCTCTGGCTCCGTCCTGGTTTTCACGGCGCCTGATCACTATCTGACAATTGAAAGGTGTCATCAGTCATTTACTTGATTCCATTAAATGAGAAATTGCCATCATCTATCTATACCGGGCGTGGACTGAAGTTTACTTTTTTGTTATTTTATAAAGGAAGGGTGGGGGGAAATAGTATGAAGAAGGGTGCAGGGGATGTTAGAAGAGGCCAGTGGAGCTTTGCTCTGTTTCATCCCTGTCTGGCTAGAAGAGCAGAGGTGCTGGGGTCAGTAGAGGAAGTGGAAGGAGGAGCCAGGAGTCAGGACTGGAGACTGGATTCACCAAACAGTGCAAAACCTCTGATCCAAGCTCAGGAACAGAGACCCCGGGAAGAAGGAAGAGAATTCTCAAGCTCTGTGGGAGGTCATTTGACTTTGAGAACCAAACTTGAATATTTTCTTTTTTAAATTTTCTTTTTATTTTTTTATTTTTAGAGAGGAAGGGAGAGGGAGAGAGAGAGAAACATCAATGTGGAAGTGGAACATCAATCAGCTGCCTCCTGACCAAGCCCACAACCCAGGCATGTGCCCTGACTGGGAATCGAACCAGCAACCTTTTGGTACATGGGATGACACCCAACCAGAGCTTGCCTATTTTCTTGGTAATTAAGGGTGAATGTATGGTTTGTTCATACAGGAACTTTCTTTCTTTTTTAAAATTTTGTTTTATTGCTTAAAGTATTACAAAGAGTAGTACATATGTCTCCTTTCCCCCCCCCTTGACCTTTCCCCCTGCCTCCCCTACCCCCCAGTGTCTTGTGTCCATTGGTTATGCTTATATGCATGCATACAAGTCCTTTGGTTGATCTCTAGGAACTTTCAATAATAATGATAAAAATAATAATAATAATAAACACTGTTCCTCAGATTTTAACACTATATCTTGTACTATGTGAACTCTTTATGTGTATTATTTCATTAAAATAAAAGGCAATCATCTGAGGTAGATATAATTATTTTCACTTTATATTTGAGAAAAACTGCAGCTCAGAGAGGTTAAGAGACTTGTCCAAGGCCACACAGCCAAAGGGGACTCAGCCCAAGCTCAAAACCTTCTTGATCAAATTGCCTTTCCAGAAAGACACAGCTCTAGAGCTTGGTTTGAAATGCCAGGAAAGCATTTCGACACATTTGTGTCATATTCCAATAAGGATTTTTCAAGTGACATTTAAACTAGGGAAGGGTGCTTGATTATATCAAGGAAGTGAGGACTGCTTTTTCTCATTAGAGTTAAGTTGAATTACTTGTATTTTATAAAATGTCCTCCCAACTGCCTCTCAGTGAAGTCGAAGGTCAGGGAGAAAAGCTTTACCCAGGAGATGAATGAACAGTAATAACTGAGCGGGCACAGCTTTGAGCCATGATTCTGCCGCAGCTGTCGGCTTTGTGACACTAAGACACAGGCTCTTGGGGAAGGTGGTCTGAGTGGCCATGTACGTGCAGAGGAGGTGGGCGGGGAAGCCTTCAAGAGGAGGTCTGGCTGAGGGGGCTTCTTCGTGAAACGAGAAAATGATTAAAGACGCTAGGGCCTGGGAATTAAAAGAGGAGGTCACTCTGTTCATTTTTTTAAAAAAATGAGGGAACAGAAAAGTCTTAGCTGAAGAGAAGTTTCTGTGTGTTTCTAATAATAAAAGACAATAGAAGTCACCTGTCATCCCAATCTTCAGAGATACCCACTACTAGATTGTGGGTTTTCCCTCCAGTCACGTCTATATTAAATATTGATGTTATGCTGTATATGTAGTTTTTAAAAATATAGTTCTATGAACTGCTTTTCCCCACCAACTGTCCATCACAAGCATTTATTCCTCACTCCTCCATGTACCCTCCCCCGAGCAGGTCCCACGCTGTCCCAGCACCTTTTTGGTGGGGACGCTGCCCCTCAATGTCTTGGGTGAGGCAGGGATGTTACCCTAGCACAGTGATGGCGAACCTATGACACGCGTGTCAGAGGTGACACGTGAACTCATTTTTTTGGTTGATTTTTCTTTGTTAAGTGGCATTTAAATATATAAAATAAATATCAAAAATATGTCTTTGTTTTACTATGGTTGCAAATATCAAAAAATTTCTATATGTGACACGGCACCAGAGTTAAGTTAGGCTTTTTCAAAATGCTGACACAACGAGCTCAAAAGGTTCGCCATCACTGCCCTAGCATGTGAAGGCAGAAGTTAGGGAGAGTGGCCGCTGGGCGGCGCTGTGGTGCAGGGGGAAAGCCAGGTTGCCAGTTGGGAGTCCCGTCCGAGCTCTATCCTTCACTCCTTGAGACCTAGAGTGATTTCCCTCCTCTAAGTCTCAGCTTCTTTATCCACAAACTGAGGGGTGGGAAGATGTGGTCAGGGTGTTTGTGAATTTGGGCTCAGCTATGCTCAACTGTGTGGCCTTCATCTCCACGATCTCGTCCAGCCGGAAAAATTCTATGATTTTTTTGCTAGCTTAGACATGAAACTCATGGGAAACCCAATTTTAAGCAAATCATTGATAATGCAAAATGAGAACCATTGTTCTAAGTTGCAATTAAGTTCCTGAGGGAGTTCTGCAAGGCAACACCATGTTAGTCCTGTTTTGTGGAGCTGGCAAACCTTACATTCTGCACACATATGTATCAGCCACACAGCAGGCATTTCCATCAGAGCATTCCTGTGACAGGCAGGGAAGTGACCTTTCCATTTTACAGGTGAGTAAACTGAGGGTCAGAGAGTTAAGGGCCTTGTCCGATGTCCCTGAGCCCAAGTGTCCTGACTCTTTAGCATCATTCTTTCTGCCACTGCATGTAATGTTCCAAACTGCTCAGATGGGAATGATAAAGATCCATAATAATAAAAGCATAATATGCTAATTAGACTGGACGTCCTTCTGGACAAAGCCGGGGCTGCAAGGGAAGCCTGGGTCCCGGGTGCCAGAGCGGGGAAGCCGGTGCCAGCAGCTGGGGGGAAGGAAGGCCTACTCTTGCAGGAATTTTGTGCATTTGGCCTCTAGTGTTTAAATATTAGCAAAGGCCTCTGAAGAAATACTGAAATAATTGGGTGATGCAGCTTAAAGAAGAGAAGACAGGGGGTTACACTTTAAGCATACAATCCCTGCAGCTCATGTTCAGAACTGAACACCTTCTTTGTTTTGACTGGATCTGAATTCTTCCCCCAGGGTGTCCTGCTTTCATGGACCAAGAAGTTTAAGGCCCGGGGAGTTCAGGACACAGATGTAGTGAGCCGTCTAACCAAGGCCATGAAAAACCACAAGGTAGGAATTTGCTCAGCTCCCAGTCCTAGCCGTCTCCTGAGGGCGGGTCACACGGTGCCTGCCCCTGAAGGAGGACAGGGAGAGGAACTGACCTCAGGGGAGGTCTCACAGCAATGCAGGCGCCGCACTTCGGATAAACCCACGGGGGAGCCTTGGTCTGTGGACCTTGTTTTAGTTACTGTTGAAAGTGGGCCCCACTGCCCAGGGACCTCCCCATTTGCACAGCCCCTTCAGGGGTCCTGGTTAGACCCCCTGCTGTGTGTGATGCTCCAACTCCTGCCTCTCGCTGAGGCTTAAAATATACTTTCTTTCCAGTCTGACTCTCTAGGCCACTTTCCACGCTCCCTTAGTCGGACTATTTGTTGAATAAATGTTATAACCGCAAAAGCAAGGCATGCTTCTTGCCAGTGGAAAAGCACACAAGTGAACCCAGATGATTTGTCACCCCGACAGCAAGAGGACTGTTTTGATGGGAACCCGTCCGTCTTTTATTCTCTTTAAAGCTGTGATCGTATTCTCTTGAAGTCTGTTTTTCTCTTATTGTTTTCATTTTACTTTAAAACACTCCCTCGAACCTTGGGGAATGTGGTGCAGTAACCCAGGATGACTTGGCGGAATGAGAAACCCGGTGGGGACTTGCCCACAGCTGAGGACTCGAGTATCTCCTCCTGAGAACACCATTGCTTCCAGGACAGACATGTTCTGCTCAGGGCCCCTCAGGCGAGGGCTGGAGTCCAGGTGGCCTGTCCCTCCTCTTCCTCGGCACAGGGGCCATCAGCCATAAGCAGCAGCATGGGTTCCCCCACGAGCTCCCACCGAGACCCCTGACCTTGACAAAGGCCTTGCTCCTTCCAGGCAGGCCCCATAGGCAGGATCTAGGGACTTTCCCAACAGTCCCCTTCACTGCTTTTGCTTTCTCCGTGGGGACAGACAGAGGGATGACACTCCCTTCCCACCCACTAATGCTTGTGTTCCAACAGGACATCGATGTGGATATCCTGGCCTTGGTCAATGACACCGTGGGAACCATGATGACCTGTGCCTATGATGACCCCTCCTGTGAAGTTGGAGTCATCATTGGTAACTCAATCTGACTTGCTTTTTGGGGATGCGGGTACGGGGCTGGGGTGGAGCTTAGTTTCAGCAAACTGAGCAAATTCTGTGGGAAGGGGACTGGTGCTTTCTGCTTAGGAGAAACAACAGAGGACGATGAAAAATTCATTCATTCACTCAACAAGTGCTTGCTGGGTGCCTACTGTGTGTCAGGCCCAACTCTGCATTGGGTTCTCAGGGTGAGTTAATACTCAGGGTCCCTGTGCTCATGGGGCTTTCAGTGGGGAGGTGGGGGGCAGATCACATCAAAGGGCCAAAGAGGCCTAAAGGAGTAAGATCATGTCAGGTGATGCTGACTGTGAGGAAGAAAATGCAGCAGGGGGGTGACCAAGAGTGAGTGTGAGGTGGTCAGGGCAGGACGCTCTGAGGGATACATTTGAGCAGGGACCTCAGAAATGAGGAGGAGGGAGCCAAGTAAGATCCAGAGGCGAGTCCTTGGCAAAGGAAAGAGGACACCTCTGGCCTCTGAATGGGACTGGGTCTGGGTGCTCGGGGAAGCACCCTGAAAGGCGGAATGGCGGCTGCATCTGGTGAATGGAGGCTGGGAGTAGTAGGGTATTCAGGTTGGAGAGAGTGGACGGGACCGGGCATTGGTCACAGACACAGTCATGGAGGGTCTTTGGCTTTTGCCCCAAAAGAGACAGGAAGGCACTGGAGGATGCTGGGGGGATGGATAAGTGGGGTGCGCATTTTTCAAAAGCTCATTTTGGCTGCTGTGTGAAAAGTTGACTATTGGGGGCAACAGTGGAAGCAAGGTGACCGGCCAGGAGACCATTGCACTGTGTAGGTGAGACGCGGTGGAGGCCTGGGCCAGGGGGTGGTGGACAGTGAGGTGTCCAGGGGGTGGGTCCCCGAGCTGGGAGGGTCTCTCCTAGAGGGTCCGGGAGAAGTCCGTCTGGGGGACAATTGAAGCCAAATGGATGGGATTTATAGGCTGTTCTTGGATATGCCCTTCCACCTCCCCATCCCTTTACTGCTGTTGGAAAAAGTTTTCTGCATGGTTTTTTCTTACTTTCTAACTACATTCTCCTGAGCCTGACTTTCCCAAAGGGCAGGAGCTTTACCCCTGAGGGGCTTGATCCACCTCCCCCCCTCCCCCTGTCTCTGGAGCCCGCACCTTAGCATGGGCCGGCATGTCCCTCAGCCACTGTCACTGGGCTGTCCTAGTGGCTGGGTCAGGTAACCCGGCACAGTGACGGAGTGCAGGGTGCGGGCATGCCTAACAGAGTCCGTGCTTTCCTGAGAAAGTGTGCCCAGATGCTGCATTACATTTTGCTTTTCTGCCTTCTTGTTTCTCGTGCTGGCTTTTATATCCTCACACCACAGGGTCGGCCAGGAAGATGCTTACTTTTTTTTTTTAAGTAGCTTTATTGAGGCATAAAACTTTTCTCATTTCAGTACAATTCAATACATTTTAGTAAGTTTACAATTTTGTAACCATCACTCGTATTTCATTTTAGAACATTTCCATCACCCCAATAAGTCCCACACAGACGGTGCCCACCTGTAGTCACTCCCCCAATCCTCGAGTGTGCGTTGGAATAATGAAATTTTGCTTTCTTATGTGATAGCTAATCACTGTCAACGACAAGGATGTAGAGTAGGCGGGGAACAATGCGTGGCAGGTCGTGAATAAAGAATATTTTTACTACCAAATAGAGAAGAGGTTAGGTAGCTGAGGGAAGGGGTTAAAAATTACTGTGGGTTGGTAATTCAAAATATATCAGGTTAGGTGAACTCATCCTCCTCTTTGCAAATGTGCTTTGTCAGCTCATACATATTCGTTAGGGACTGACTTCTTCAGGACCGACTTCATTCACAACAGCAAACCATGAGCACACCGAGAAGGATAGGCTTGGCATGTCAGCTGGTTTCCTCATGAACTCTGGCTCTCCAGCTGCTGCCTCGTCGGGAACCAGCCCCCGATCAAAAGCGCTGTGCGGTGGATTCCTAGAGCTCTCAGGTCTAAGGGCTGTGCGGTGGATCCGAGAGCTCTCAGGTCTAAGGGCTGTGCAGTGGGTCCGAGAGCTCTCAGGTCTAAGGGCTGTGTGGTGGATCCGAGAGCTCTCAGGTCTAAGGGCTGTGCGGTGGATCCCAGAGCTCTCAGGTCTAAGGGCTGTGCGGTGGATCCGAGAGCTCTCAGGTCTAAGGGCTGTGCGGTGGATCCCAGAGCTCTCAGGTCTAAGGGCTGTGCGGTGGATCCCAGAGCTCTCAGGTCTAAGGGCTGTGCGGTGGATCCCAGAGCTCTCAGGTCTAAGGGCTGTGCAGTGGGTCCGAGAGCTCTCAGGTCTAAGGGCTGTGCGGTGGATCCCAGAGCTCTCAGGTCTAAGGGCTGTGCGGTGGGTCCGAGAGCTCTCAGGTCTAAGGGCTGTGCGGTGGATTCCTAGAGCTCTCAGGTCTAAGGCCTGTGCGGTGGGTCCGAGAGCTCTCAGGTCTAAGGCCTGTGCGGTGGGTCCGAGAGCTCTCAGGTCTAAAGCTCGGGCAGGTCAGAGCTCTCTGCCTGCCCAACGGGGAGCCTGCCATCTGTGCATCTTCCCTCTGACCCCTTGTTCAGGCACCGGCACCAACGCATGCTACATGGAGGACATGAGCAACATCGACCTGGTGGAAGGCGACGAGGGGAGGATGTGCATCAACACCGAGTGGGGGGCCTTTGGGGACGACGGGGCCCTGGAAGACATCCGCACGGAGTTCGACCGGGATCTGGACCTCGGCTCTCTCAACCCGGGGAAGCAGCTGTGAGTGCCCCGCCCACCGCCCCCACCCCCCGCCCCGTGCTGGAGTCTGGGCGTCGGCACCAGGAAACACCCAGTCCCTCGGGGACACTTGATGCCTGGGAGGCTTTCAGTTGTGACTAGTTACCCGTCCCAGTGAGTGTGTGAGGCCAGGTCTGTATTTCAGTTTCGCGGGGCAGATGAGGGAAGTGACGCCAAGGATGTGCAGTGGTTTGCCTCTGCCTCATTCGGTCCGTGTGCGTGGAGCATGTGTGTGCGAGGCAGGGGTGACCCAGATGGCTCCGGTCTTGACCTCTGGGTGCGTTTGGGGAGTGGCCACCAACGGGCCAGTGCAGCCGAGGAAGCAGGATCAGCCAAGTGCCTCACTGTGTTTCCAGGGCTCCCGACACACTGCTGCTTCGGGGCCTGGCCCACAGCACCTGGTGACTCCTCCCAGCCTCGGGCTCCCGGCCCTTTCTCAGCCGCACCCCACACCTCCTGCCGTGGAGGTCCTGGGGCTGCCTCAGCCTGTCTACACGCCTCTCCCTGAAGGCAGGCTGCACACGCAGCTTCTCTTTCCTGCCTGCACGTACACATTATTGCAACTCATTAAGTGTTGAATGAAAAAAAACTAAACTTAAAAAAAATAATTCCAGACTTACAGAAAAGTTGTGACTATCATATGAAACTCCCCTTCATTCGGATTTCCTAAGTAGTCCCATTCTCTGTATGTTTGTGTGTGTATGTCTCTATACATATAAAATACACACGTCTGTGTAAAATTATTTTTCTGAACCTTTGAGACTAAGTTGCATACATAACATCCCTTCACTCCTCAGGACGTCAGAGTGTATTGCCTGAAAACAAGTACCTTCTCTTACATAAACTAAGTATAATGATCAAAATTAGGGCGTCAACACGTAATAAGTTCAATATCTAATTTACAGACCGATTCAGAATTCACCAGCTGGCTCACTAATGTCCTTCATCAAAAGAAACAAGTGGTCCTGGCCCAGGCTCCCGCCCAGGATCGCACACTGCATTTTCTGGCGGGTCTCGCGAGCCTCCTTCCATCTGGACCACTTCTGTGGGATCTGTGTTTCACGATCTTGATGCACACAAAGCCATTTATCTTACAGAATGTCCCTCAGCTTGGGTTTGTCTGATGTTTCCTTGTGATTGGGTTCTGGTGATGGGTTTTTGGCAGGAACTTCCCACCGGACACGTGTCCTCTCCGGTGCTGTGTATCTGGAGGCGCGTGTTTGCTCAGTTACCGGTGATGCTACCTGAACCCCCTGGTGAAGGGGAAGTGCAACAGCTTCTCCACCATATGTTTACCATGATTCCCTCTGGAATGCGTGTCTGGTGAAGGGATGTTTGGGATTATGGAAGCATCCTGTTTCTCATGAAACCTTCGTTTTCTAGCCTCAGCATCCATGGATGAATTCCAATGCATCATTTCCTCTGTTCATTCATTGTTATTTCACTGTGAGAAAGAGCTTTCTTATCCCCTCCATTGACCTAGTCAGACCAATATGGACACGTAGAATTGTTTTATTTCATAGGTTATAATTTCTTCCTATCATTATTTATTTTGATGTTCAAATTTTTCACACTTGGCCAGTGGAATCCCCTACAAGCTGGTCCCCACATCCTTTGACATGTTCCCATCACCTTTTTTCTCCTGGCCCAGAAGAAGATGGTGTCTTCCCAGCCCCGGCCCTGGGATCAAACCATTTTTCTAAGAAGCCCGGTGAAAAGTACCTCCTAGAAAATATTTAAACACAGAACTGCACACCTGGAAAGTAAATTCCTGCTTTGGATGCACCTGCTCCCCAGCACACACCCCTTTCCCTGGAGATGCGGAGCAGTCCTGGCCCAAGGAGTTGACCATCCTCGCCCTCTCCCTTTCACTTAAAATAATTTCCATTCCCTCAAAGCCAACCTGGCACTGACCTGCTCACCAAATTGTAGGTTTGAGAAGATGATCAGCGGCCTGTACCTCGGCGAACTCGTCAGGCTCATCTTGGTGAAGATGACCAAGGCAGGCCTCCTGTTTGGCGGCAAGAAGTCCTCCAGTCTCCACACTAAGGGCAAGATTGAAACACGGCACGTGGCTGCCATGGAGAAGTAAGCTCTGGAGGGTCCCTCCCGTCTGGATGCGGAGGCTTCGTGCAGGGTGGGCGGCCAGGGCGGTCTTCTCATGAGAGGGGTACAGCGGAAGGGAAGGGACCAGGTCTTCTTCCTCATCTGGGTGATTTATTTATATTTTTTAAAATATATTTTTATTGATTTCAGAGAGGAAGGGAGAGGGAGAGAGAGTTAGAAACACTGATGATGAGATGGAATCATTGATTGGCTGCCTCCTGCACGCCCCCTACTGGGGATCGAGCCTGCAACCCAGGCATGTGTCCTTGACTGAAGTCGAACCTGGGATCCTTCAGTCTGCAGGCTGACGCTCTATCCATTGAGCCAAACCAGCTGGGGCCTCACCAGGACGATTTTAGACCTGATTACAGCTGAGGAGGGTTAGCAGTGCCTGTCGTGACTCAGCTGTGGCTTCTGGTGGGTTTCATCAGCCTGGGATTCGGCCGACGGAGGTCTACCCTCCTCCTGTTTTGTTACCTTCCGCTTCCCCTAACACTGTGATTTATAAAATGTTTAGGGTCACAGACCCCTTTGAGGATCAGATTCAAGTTCTGGACCCTTTCTTCCCAAAAGGCACATTTGCACACAACTTTATTTATAATATCAGGGCATCCTTAGACCCATGAAAGCCCACGCATGGAATCCAAGTTATGAACTCCTGCCATAGCAAGAGCCTTCTCTACCTGGTCCTGCTGGGGGCTGGCTTTGGGGCTCTGAGGCCTCACACACAGGTCCCTGTAGTGGGGCGTGGCCCCAGCCAACTTATGGTCTGGTTCCTCCGGCTGAGAAACCCTGGCATTGCCCCGAGCTTTGTAATCAGTTTAGATTCTGAGCTCAGCAAAATCGCGTGTGACTCCCAGTGTCTGTATTTGTGCAGAGCTTGGCAGGGACTGAGTTTCGGTGAAAGGCAGTATAGTACACGGTATAGTACAAGGTGGGTAAAAGGGTAGACTCTAATTTAACTGCCTGAGTTCAAATCCCGAGCCTTGCACTTACTAGCTGTGTGACTGTGGACAAGTTACTAGCCCTCTCTGTGCCTCAGGTCCCTTCTTCTGAGCAATCGGGTAATGACAGAATTCCCCCAGGAGTGTTGTGAGCGTTGAGTTAATACCTGTCAAATCCTTAGACAAGTGCTGGCGCACAGTGAGTGCTCAACAAGTGGTGGCTCCTATGATCCCTTCTGATGTTGTTATTAGATTACTGTGTGCCAGCCTCTTTCTTTTCACGGTCCTGAGAGGTGAGAAAGCTGGTTCTCTCCATGGAGGGAAAAGGGCGGCCCTCTCACATTCCTGTCCTCGGCCAGGTATAAAGAAGGCCTTGCCAACACACGAGAGATCCTCACGAACCTGGGCCTGGAGCCTTCGGAGGCCGACTGCATTGCGGTCCAGCACGTCTGCACCATCGTCTCCTTCCGCTCGGCCAATCTCTGTGCGGCGGCCCTGGCGGCCATCCTGACTCGCCTCCGGGAGAATAAGAAGCTGGCGCGGCTCCGGACCACAGTGGGCGTCGACGGCACCGTCTACAAGATACACCCTCAGTGAGTGCTGCTGCGCCACACCCCGCGCATGAGTCTCCCCTGGAGCAGGGTCCCAGTGTGCTCGAACTGTGCTGCTTCTCTGGAACCAACTGTCTCCCATTGGTTCTGAGAATTCAGGGGAAAGGCTGAATTCAGAGGCTGCATTCGGCTAGATGGCTGGGTTGCTTGGGTAGGGGGAGAGGGGGGTCACTCTTAAAGAAATACGCTGCTAAAGCCAATTGCCTGACTAGCAAGGCCAGCCATTTCTGTGTTTAGCCATCTGGCTACCCTTCTATCTATCTATTCATCTATCTGTCCATTACTATTGAATACCTACTGTGTGGGAAGACTGGAAAAATACACCCAGTTATACATGGGGGAAATCAGATGCCAGAGGTTGCCAAGTTCATGTGAAGGATTCTGGTAGGAAACACGTGGACACGAGAATTTCCTAGAAGGAGGGAGTGCACACGCCTCTCTGGCTAACAGAGGTGGTACTGGGAGTCAGGTGGGTACCCCCGGAAGGAGGTAGGGAAGCACTTCCCCTTTGGGCAGCGATGATGTTTGGCCAACATGTTATGCATGGACATGGCCTACCAGTTGAAATATTGGTGGTAAAATAGCTACTTCCTCGAGCCTCCCAAGTGTCCTGTCCACTGCCCCAGCTGCCCGGTCCCCCCCATCACTCCCTGCCCCATACCACCTGCGACGAAAGGGGTGAGCCCTGGCCGAGCAGGGCTCCCAGGACCCAGCGCATGCTGCCCTGCGCCTGTTCCCATTGGCCGGGCCGGGCCTGTGTGACTGCTCTGTATTTTGCCATCACCCCTGCCTTCAGATACCCCAAACGCCTGCACAAGGTGGTGAGGAGACTGGTCCCGAACTGTGACGTCCGCTTCTTCCTGTCGGAGAGTGGCAGCACCAAGGGGGCAGCCATGGTGACGGCGGTGGCTGCCCGCGTGCAGGCCCAGCGGAAGCAGGTGGACCAGGTGCTGGCTCTGTTCCGACTGACCCGGGAGCAGCTCGTGGGCGTGCGGGACAAGATGCGGGCTGAGCTCGAGTATGGGCTGAAGAGGGACACCCACCTGCTGGCCACCGTCAAGATGCTGCCCAGCTACGTCTGCGGGATGCCGGATGGCACAGGTGGGCCGTGCACAAGCTCTCTTTCCCGAAGGGCCACCCAGACCTCCCACGAGCTCCTTCAATCCGGTTAGGTGTTTTATTTGAAGAGCTTTGGGTTCATGTCTGTAACGGCGGGCGGGGGCCAGGGTTGAAGGTCAGTACTCCTTCTGCATCTATTTGCCGGGTTGACCAACGGCCTTGCTCTGTGCACGCTGGTGGAGAGATCGCCTCCCGCAGAGGGCGTGTGCGTCTGTGTAGCTGAGAACATGGTGTGTACCCCATGTTGTTGGCAAACAGAAGACCCAGATGCTGTTCCTGGGAGCTGCCATCTGGACACTTGGAGTCGGCTGGCTGGCCTTCCCGCGGTTCTCTGCCTCTCTTCCCTCCCGAGGCGTGGCTCTCTTGCTCTCCCCTCAGCACTCTCTGCCCCTGACTTTTCCAAGCCCTGATCCTCCTCCTGGTGCTTGGTGCTCAGCTGAGAGGAGCCACTCCACAGCGGAGTCAGTCCTTTAGAGAAGTTACTTCACCTCTTCGAACCTCATGAACTGCACCCAGAAATAATGACCTTGGTCGGATGCTTTCTAGCTTGTAGTTTGCTTTTGAACATTTCATTTCATCCTCACAACCAGTTTGTGTGTTACATAAATAGAGAGTGATTCCCATCTTATGGATGCCAAAACAGACTCAGAGAGGTTAGATGACATACTCACGGCCACACAGCTGTACTTTGGAACTCTCAACAGCAAAGATCTTTTCCAGAGCCAAAGTTCTTGGAGTCTACATGGGGAAAAAACTGAGAGCAGTAGGAATACTGTTCAATTATTCATTCCTTCATCCCGTTCATCCTCCTGCCTTCATCCCTCGAAGTTTTATTAAGCACCTACTATGTCAGGCTCAGTTCTAGTCTTGGTGATAGAGCAGTGAAGAAAAACACAGTCCCTACCCTGGTGGAGCTTATGTTCTGGTGGATTGGCAGACAATAAACAAACGCCATATATGCCATGTAATGACAGGTGCTGTGAAGACAAATAGAGCAGGGTGAGGGGTAAGAGCTTGCTAGGAGTGGTGTCTTTGGCAAATTCAAGGAACAGCAAAATGGCCAGTGTGGCTGCAGTACGGTGAGACAGAGAGCAAGGCAAAAGGCTTTCCAGAACAGTCTGTGATTCTCTGCGATGCTGGAGAAGTGAGAGGCAGTGGGTGGTATTGAAGGTTGAACTTGATTTCTTTTGTTGTTAATTCCCACCCGATGATATTTTTCCATTGATTTTTAGAGAGAGTGGAAGGGAGGGGGAGAGACAGAGAGAGCGAGAGAAACATCGATGTGAGAGAGACACATCTATTGGTTGCTTCCTGCATGTGCCCTGACCCGGCCAGGGACCCTGGCCTGCAACCGAGGTACATGCCTTGACTGGAATCAAACCCGGGACCCTTCAGTCCACAGGCCGATGCTCTATCCACTGAGCCAAACCAGCCAGGTGGGGGTGAGGGAACCCAGAGAAGGGGAGAGCAGGGGTGGGAAGAATCTTTCTATCACGTGATGAGCAGTTCCTCCAGGCCACACAGACAGATGGAGCCACCTTCCGGAGGCCATTGCACTCAGGGAAGCCTGGCCTGACTCACCCTCAGAGGCTCTTTGAGCATAAGTACCGTTGTGGCCTTTACCAGGTGCAGGAAAAGCAGGCTGGCCTCCGACAGCTCCGGGCCTGCGGGTGCTCTGGATCTGTGCCCAGGGCAGGCTCTAAGGCTGCTCCTTTTCCTCATCTCCGTCCCCCCATGCCTCCCCCGAGTCCCTGCTCTGTGCATGCTGGTGGAGCGGAGCCCCACTTTCTCCCCCACAGAGAGAGGAAATTTCCTTGCCCTGGATCTGGGGGGAACCAACTTCCGCGTCCTCCTGGTGAAGATCAGAAGCGGCCGGAGGTCAGTGCGAATGTACAACAAGATCTTCGCCATCCCTCTGGAGATCATGCAGGGCACCGGCGAGGAGGTAAGCATCAGGCCGTGGGTCTGTGCGCTGAGGTGCCAGCCTCCCCGCCCCCGGTCACTGCCCGCCTGGGTGACTGCCACTCTCTACCTGCAGCTGTTTGACCACATCGTGCAGTGCATCTCTGACTTCTTGGACTACATGGGCCTCAAGGGAGTCCCGCTGCCTTTGGGCTTCACATTCTCATTTCCCTGCAGGCAGACAGGCATCGATAAGGTAAGTGGCCCCACCAGACTCCCAGCCAGCCCCGTGGGGTGGGCTGCCCTCCTCCACGAGGGGAATCCCAAGGTACCTCTGAGTCACTGTTCATTTTATTTAGGGGCCTTAGGACAGGGCAGCTGGGGGAGGGGCCGCGGGCGGTTGGGGCCGCAGTGTGTGTCAAAGCAACCGGTCGTTCAGGCATTGCGGTCGCTTGGCTTTTATATATATACTAGAGGCCTGGTGCACAAAAATTTGTGCACTCGGGGGGGGTGGGGGCTCAACCCGGCCTGTGCCCTCTCGCAGTCTGGGACCCCTCGGGAGATAACGACCTGCTGGCTTAGGCCTGCTCCTGGGTGGCAGAGGGCAGGCCCAATCCCTAGGTGCAGCCCCTGGTTGGGCTCAGAGCAGGGCCGATTGGGGAGTTAGGGCACCACCCCCTGTCATGCACATTGCAGGGCGGATTGGGAGGTTGCGATGCCACCCTGTCACGCTCAGGATAGGGCCGATTGGGGGTTTGGGGCACCGCTCCCTGTCACACTCAAGGCAGGGTTGATGGGGAGGTTGCAGCGCCACCCCTTGTCACGCACAGAGCAGGGCCAATCGGGGTTGGGGCTCCGTACCCTGTCACACACAGAGCAGGGCCCATCAGGGGGTTGGGGAGCTCCCCCCTGTCACTCACAGAGTAGGGCCGATAGGGGAGTTGGGGCACTGCCCCCGTCACACACAGAGCAGGGCGGATCAGGGGGTTGGGGCGCCGCCCTCTATCACCCACAGAGCAGGGCCAATCAGGGGGTTGGGGCGCCGCCACTCTCACACTCAGGGCAGGGCTGATGGGGAGGTTATGGCTCTACCCTGTCACACACAGAGCAGGGCCCTTAGGGGGGGCGGGGTTGGGGTGCCGCACCCTGTCACACACAGAGCTGCAGGGCGATCAGGGGGTTGGGGAGCTCCCCTGTATCAGGCATAGAGCAGGGCTGATCAGGGGGTTGGGGCGCCTTCCCCTGTCATGAACAGAGCAGGGCAGATAGGGAGGTTGTGGCCCCGCCCCCTGTCACACACAGAGCCACAGGGCAATCAGGGGGTTTGGGCGCTGCCCCCTGTCATGCTGATCCTGGTGCTGGGAGGCCTCGCGGCTCCGCTGATCCCGGTGCTGGGTGGCATATTACCCTTTTACTATATAGGATAGAGGTCTGGTGCATGGGTGGGGGCTGGCTGGTTTGCCCTGAAGGGTGTCCTGGATCAGGGTGGGGGTCCCCACTGGGATGCCTGGCCAGCCTGGGTGAGGGGATGATGGCTGTTTGCAGCTGGTCACACACCCTTCAGGGTGGGGGTCCCCACTGGGGTGCCTGGCCAGTCTGGGTGAGGGGCTGAGGGCTGTTTTCAGGCTGGCGGGTGACTGAAGCTCCCAACTGCTCCTTTTTTTCTTTTTTTTTTTTTATTCTGGGCCAGTTTTAGCTCTGGCTCCAGCTCTGAGGCCTCTGCTGCTGAAAGCAGGTATCTGGTTTGTTTGGGTTCTATAATCGAAACACTGTATCAACTCCAGCTCTGAGATCCTGGCTGGCTGAAAGCAGGTTTCTGGGGTTTTGTTTAGCTTCTATATTTGTAACAATGTTTCAAACTGCAAGCTCAGAGGCCAGCAAGGCAGGCGGGGAACGTTGGTTTCCTCCGTCACTGAAGCAAGCAAGCCTCATGTTAGCTTCAAGCTGCCTGGCTGCCGGCCGCCATCTTGGCTGGCATATCACCCTGATTAGCCAATGGGAAGGTTAGCGGATGTATGGCTAATTACCATGTTTCTCTTTTATTAGATAGGATAGATGACATTTCCTGTATTGATGTACAAGGTGATAGATCCATTTTTTGGAATGATAGGATGCCTCTAGTGTTTTACTGTGGAACAATGCTTTCATAAACAGTTGTGGCCTTATCATTAATCACATCTTAATCTGTCCTTGGCTAGATTAGAAGTGATCCAGGCCTAAGGGGGGGATGAGGACACATTTGTAATACCTTAACTAAGAATAAAAAAAAAAAAAAAAAAAAAAAAAAAGTGATCCAGGCCTTTGCTCTGTACAGTCATGGCCTGGGAACATGAGCTGGTCACTGATGAATATGAATTACTGCAATTACTCCACTCAGAAGTAGACCCTGTCTGCACATCATGCTTTGTAATGCCTCTGGGCCCAGTGTTAGGGCTGCATAGATGGAAGCAATCAAAAGCACACACACCAGACTACCTATTAGATGTTGAGGTCCCAGAAAACTACTGCTCAAGTGAATTTCTCCTCCTTTCTTTCAGGGGATACTCATTGAGTGGACCAAAGGCTTTAAGGCGACTGACTGTGAAGGGGAAGACATGGTGGATATGCTCAGGGAAGCCATCAAGAGGAGAAACGTATGATACGGTGTTGAGGCTCATGCCTGACTTAGCCCCTTCCCCCAAACCCCTTTGGCCTACCATCCTACGTCCAGCCCTGTGACTCTGACCTCCCTCACACACACCCCACTCCTACTCTGGGTCAATATGCCCCTCCTAGTCCAGTTGCACATTCCACCTACAGTAGAGCTGCTTCCTTTGCAGGAGTTTGACCTGGACATAGTTGCAGTTGTGAATGACACAGTGGGGACCATGATGACCTGTGGCTATGAAGATCCTAATTGTGAGATTGGCCTGATTGCGGGTAAGTGGTCAGGCATGTCCCATTGGCCTACTCCCATCTGATTCTTTGGAGGATCCTTTTTAACATAGTGAGGCGGGGGAGATTGCTCCATTATACAGAGCCTCTGGAGCTGGCTTTGTCCAAGGCAGAGATGAAGTTAAGGCTGGGATTCTAGAATTCCTAAGTGTTTACCTAATATCTTTCTTCATTAAGGGTAGTAAGTCAAAGTTGTCCTTTCTGTTGAAGAAGAATGATATAAAAAAGGGGGACTTTCAGATTAGGGCCTTGGAGCAGACTACCCTGGGAGGAAGGAGACCTCAGTTGAATCTTGTTGGCCCAAAGCTGGCTCCAATGTTCTCTGACCTTTTCTGGCTGTCTGGGTTCACAGGATGGGGAAGATTTGGAAAGAAACCTAGGGGAGGAGAAGTCTGATGGTGATTAAGGACTAGGGTGGGATGGCTCCAGCAGGGTGAGGAAAAAGGTGGGAGTTGAACAGGTAGAGATGGGGATGAAGGGCATTCCAACTGAGAGGCACAGATTAAGTAATGACAATCTGCGAAAGTTGTTCCAGTTGGTTGTCTGGAGTTCCTGGAGGTGAGGAGTAGGTGGAACAAGCAGATGGGGATACAGTGAGATGTCTTCAATGCCAGATAAGGGGTTTGATCTCACCCCAACTCTCACCTGCTTTGTGACCTTGGGCAGGTTACTATTCTGTCTGAACTTGCATTTCCTCATCTATGGGAGGGGCTGGGCTCTATTTAGGCGAGCAAAGAGGTGAGATTTGCTTAATTCCATATAATAGTTGCCTGGACTGTTGTGTTGAGAATAGTTCTTAGGTCATGTCATGGGCCTAGGAGAAGAGGGTGGCGTATAGATGCTAAACATTTGCTTGTCCAAGACTAGACGATTCCTCATGGTCCTTTCCAGCTCCGACTGCTAACTCTATGACTACTTGGAGGCTCACTTTGTGTGCCTATAGCTTAACAAGGATGATGATGGAGGTGATGCTGCTGCTGCTATCACCATTGATTGAATACTTACTATGTGGAGGAAACTTATAAACATCTCATTTTTAAAAAAAAATATTTTTTATTGATTTCAGAGAGGCAGGGAGGAGAGAGAGATAGAAACATCAATGATGAGAATCATTGATTGGCTGCCTCCTGCACACCCCCTACTAGGGCATGTGCCCTGACTTGGAATCAAACTGTGACCTCCTAGCTCATAAGTCGATGCTCAACCATTGAGCCACACCAGCCGAAGCTCATCTCATTTTTTTTTTTTTTTAAATAACAAATCTATGAGGCAGGCATTGTTTCCTTTTCACAGATGAAGAAATTGGGTCTCTGAAAGATGAGATACTTGTCCAAGGTCACTCAGCAATGGTATAAAGCTGCAATTCAGCTTTTGACTCCAATCCAGTTGTCTGACTCTAAGCCTAAAGTCCTGTCTACTGCGCTCCACTGCCTCTTTAAGATCTGGTGGTGTCTGTTGAAGACTAAAGTCTCTTCCTGATTCCTTCTAGGAACGGGCAGCAATATGTGCTACATGGAGGAGATGAGGAACATAGAGGTGGTGGAAGGGGACGAAGGGAAGATGTGCATTAACACAGAGTGGGGAGGATTTGGAGATAATGGCTGCATAGATGACATCCGGACCCAATATGACAAGGAGGTGGATGAGGGGTCCCTGAATCCCGGCAAACAAAGGTGAGAAGGCAGATGTGTACATGTGTGCGGGTTGTGCATATACCACTTTACCAGATCTTGGCGGGGGGGGGGGGGGGAGGGTGTGTGTGCCATTTTCTTATTATATTACAACTACTATTACATGTTAGTGTGTTATTTGAACAAAAGCAAAATATTATGACAAATTTCCAATAAGTAGAACAAAGGGTTGCCTTTTTCTAACTACCATAGGACATCATAAAGGGCGTGGCTAGTGGAGGCAGAGGCTGTCTGTGGGCCAGGTGTCACAGAGCAGGGGCCTGGTGACTCTGGGTGCCCTCTCAGGATGGGCCTCTGAGAGGTCCAATTCAGCATTTTAAGAGCTGGCTGCCAGGTTGCTGGCTTCTGTTGTTCTGGGCGAGGAAGTGGCCACAGGAAGGATGGGAGTTCCGGTTCTCAACATGATGTCATGTCCCAACGTGGGTCACAGTCACCTGTGAGGTGTATTCCAACTACTGACCCTACTGAAAACAGTGGATGGTTCTTTAAAAAAAAGTAGAGTACATTTTTGCTTGCATCCTCATATACCAGCGGTTCTCAACCTGTGGGTCGCGACCCCTTTGGCGGTCAAACGACCCTTTCACAGGGGTCGCCTAAGACCATCCTTCATATCAGATATTTACATTACGATTCATAACAGTAGCAGCATTACAGTTATGAAGCAGCAACGAAATAATTTTATGGTTGGGGGTCCCCACAACATGAGGAACTGTATTTAAAGGGCCAAAAGGTTGAGAACCACTGTCATATACCTTCTTGAGAAGAAGAGAAAGGGGTAGCTAGGGATAGAGCTATCATGCTAGGAATTGATCGTTAACCTGGGCTTGTCCATTAGAACAGGAGCTGGCAAACTTTCTATGATGTACCAGAGAGTAAATGTTTTACTGTCAGGTCACAACTAAACTCAGTGTCTTAGTATATAAAGTAAGCGGGAAATGCAGATTTGTTGTGATGGGTGACAGCCACGTGAAGAAGCTGAGCACATAGGTTGTGTAATGGGATGACTGGGCCACATGTTGAACTGAGAGCACGACATAGGAGAGGCCCCGTGGTCCCTCATCTTCCTTGGCACTTGCTCCAAAAAATAAAAATCTGATCAATGTATTTATCTCTGAACCCCACACTGGGGCATCCGGCTATCATGGCTCTTCTTAAGGGGCGAGGCCTTCTGACTTAGTTCTGTGTCTGAATCCACTGGAGGCTTACATTTTTGGAATGAGGACTTAAGGGGGCAGCACTTTTGAATTTGCTGCCATCATCTGTCTGTTTCATCTTGGGCGCACGTTAGGGCAGTGATGGCGAACCTATGACACGTGTGTCAGAGGTGACACGTGAACTCATTTTTTTTGGTTGATTTTTCTTTGTTAAATGGCATTTAAATATATAAAATAAATATCAAAAGTATACATCTTTGTTTTACTATGGTTGCAAATATCAAAAAATTTCTATATGTGACACGGCACCAGAGTTAAGTTAGGGTTTTTCAAATGCTGACATGCCGAGCTCAAAAGGTTCGCCGTCACTGCGTTAGGGCCTGATCAGCGAGGAGAACACACAAGTCTCGGCCACTCTCCGCTTCCCATTCAGCCCTGCAGGCAGGGGCAGCCCAGCCTGTGTCACGGTGGCTGGTGACGGTCACACACACCCGTGCAGACACCTGTGCGGTGCCTGCTGGTCACAAGGCACGTCTCCTCTTGCTCCTTCCCAAATGCTGCTCACAGCCTGGCAGAAAGGGGACAGGGTGGTGACAGCTTTTGAGGACCCTGGTGTGTGCGGACAGTGTAAATGTATTACCTGGTGGAGCAGAGTCTCTAGTGGGACAGATTCCTTCAACTAGAAAGGAGCATCTCCAGTAGAACAGATGTGTCATGCAAACGAGGGGCGTTGGCTTTGGGAACAGGAGAGGGACCAGCTCTGCTCAGCACCTGCTGTACACTGAGGCTTGCCTCCCGACAGCCTGTGCGGTCAGTGTTTTGGTCCCTGTTTTATAGATGATGGCTCAGTGCTTGCTCAGGTGCCCCTGGTATGTGGCAGAGCTGGGACCTGGCTCCCGCTCCCCGTGACTCCAAAGCCTGGCTCTCCCACATCACTGCATTTCCGTTGGCCACTGCTCACTCCGAAACACTCCAAACCAGGCAGCTGGCGGCGGCCAGTGGTCTGTCTTCCACACCCGACCCATGTCCTTTCGGGAACCATTCATCAGCGCTGGTTTTCCTGCTCTCACCCACCTTATCCCTCTTTCCCAAACAGATACGAGAAAATGACCAGCGGGATGTACCTGGGGGAGATTGTGCGGCAGATCCTGATTGACCTGACCAAGCAGGGCCTCCTCTTCCGGGGGCAGATTTCAGAGCGTCTCCGCACCAGGGGCATCTTTGAAACCAAATTCCTGTCCCAGATTGAAAGGTGACGTGCGGTCAAGTTCACTGCTCAGTGTGAGAGCCCTGACTTGGATGTGCTGCTGTCATGCTGGGGGTAGGCGGGTTTGAGATTTAAGAATAGAAACAGCAAGGCCAGATGAGGAGGGGTTGCCCCGTCTCTCCAGCTGCTTCAGGACCACAGCCCAGGGCGTGCTCACAGCTGAGGGGCCAGCAGCCTGCCTGGGCTCTGGGTTCCTAAACTGTTACCCAGGAGTTAGCTGAGGCCAGGAAATGATCCTCCTTTGTTCCTAAAAAGAAAATATATCCCTAATATGAAAGCAAAGTCATTTTAAAAAATCACCCACATGCTCACCACTAAATACAGCGGTTTTTATTTTTGCATATTATATTCCCTTTCAAGTTCTTGAATGTTTGCAAGCATATTTTCTTTTTTTTAATGGATTTTTAGAGAGAGAGGAAGGGAGAAGGATAGAGAGATAGAAACATCGATGAGAAACATCATTGGTCCACTGCCTCCTGCTTGCCGCCCACTGGGGATCGAGCCCACAACCCAGGCATGTGCCCTGACCAGAAATCGAACCAGTGACCTCTTGGTTCTTGGGTTGATGCTCAACTGCTGAGCCACGCTAGCTGGGCTGGACACACTTTTTTAAAAGGTAATTCCAGTTCCCACTGCCACCAGCTATGCACACATGGCAGTTTCACTGTTTCTCCTACCAGCCCTGGATGTGATCAGAGGCTTTGTGTTTGGAATTTCTCTCAATTTGACTTCCTTCATTTAATTCTCCTGGTCTTTATGGCCAGGTGCCAGCAAGCCACAAATCATCCTGGGGGGAAAAGCAAACTCTTTATAAATGAAAGCAGTGCATTTAATGAGGGAAATGCGATGGGCTGATGCAGAGTAGTTCTCTTTAAGGAGAGGGTGGTAGAATCTGCAGCACCAGCAGCAATTTTGTGTTTTTGAAGTGATGATTAGCAAACATTCAGCTGTCTTTTTTGGGGGGCGGAGGGGTCTGGTCTTTAACTCATCCAATCCGAAAGTGCAAGTTGAAAGTCGCTGCCTTTGGTGACCAGAGGCTCCTCTTTCGTGGGGGAAACAGTTGCTCCCTTGTGTGCAGGAGATAAACAGATTGACTGATCTTTGCCTCGCTTTTTTGAACACAAGGAAAGTTGTTCCGGACAAAGCAAGTTGTCAGGACCTATATGCCTCCAGAAGTATTTGCTTCTGCCACACAAAACGTGTCTGCTTTGGATGCTTTCACTTCTGCAGGCATTTTAAAAAGCACCTTTATGGGTTAAAATGAAATCATACCATCGAGTACCAGTGGGAATCTAGCAGTTGCTGTCCTGACGGTGGACCCTGTCGACACGTGTTGAATGGGTGGGACAGTGACCTGAGGGGAAGCATCCTGGGTTTACAGCCTCAGAGCCTGAGCTTCTGCTTCCTCTCCCACTTCTTTGTGCTGGGTGACCTGCAGCAGGCAGCTCCTCTCTGGACCCAATTTCCTTCTTTATAAGATAAATAATTGCTCTGCTGCTTAACCCCAAGGACGGCTCTGAGGATAGAGTAAGGGAACATACAGGAAAGAACTAGGTAAACTGTGAAGGGCTAGATCATGGAAGGAATTTTATACATAGTAATGGAACCCCACTTTTTTCCTTCCTATATAAATATTGCTTATTCATAAGCAAAAGGAAGAAAATAAGAATTACTGGCAATCCTTCCAGCATCTGAATAGATTTCCTTCTGCTCTATGTGTGTGTGTGTGTGTGTGTGTGTGTAAGGACAAACATCATTTAAAAACAAAAACAAATCAAGATCATATGGCAGCTAGTATTTTATAATTTATGTTTTCACTTAATACATCATAAACATTTTTCATAGCATTAGATATTCTCATGCGAACTCAATTTTAAGGTCTACAAAGGCTTCTACTGTCTGGCTACACCCCCCCTTACCTGTCGAAGCTGCTCTGTGGTCATAGAGGTTGTTTCTAAGTTGTTCTCTCTTGATAACACTCTTCTTCCTGCAGTGATCGGCTGGCCCTCCTCCAGGTGAGGAGGATCCTGCAGCAGCTTGGCTTGGACAGCACGTGCGAGGACAGCATCGTGGTGAAGGAGGTGTGTGGAGCTGTGTCCCGTCGGGCGGCCCAGCTCTGTGGTGCAGGCATGGCTGCCATCGTGGAGAAGAGGAGGGAAGACCAGGGGCTGGAGCACCTGAAGATCACTGTGGGCGTGGACGGCACCCTGTACAAGCTGCACCCTCAGTGAGTGCCTGAGAAGGATGGGGTGGGAGGGCGCTGAGGTCAAGAGTAGACCTGGTTGAATCTGGCAGGCAAGGTTGAGCCCTGTGGTATGGTGTGGGAGGATTTGCCATCCCCTCTGAACCCCAGCTTCCTCATCTGTAAAAGGCGGGCAGTGATAATCTCCACCTCCTAGAACTACATGAAGATTACATGGGTTATACAGGTAAAGTGCTCAGTAAATACTGGCCTCACAGGGGAGTCATTGAACTGAGCATTTTATATAACATAGAGCACTGTCTAGTATGAGCTGGTTATAATTTTCTTAGCTCAGAATAAGTGGGCAGAAGGATTAAGAGCCCTGTCAGGCAATATGAGTTTGAATCCAGTTTCTTACTCCCTGTAAAATGAGGACAAAAATCAGACCTGCCTCATGGATTGCTGTGAGGATTAAGTTAAGCGGTGGCTGTAGCAGGAATGGCTCATCACAAAACTTCCAGTGATGAAAGTTATAATTTCCATTTCATGTCGTGTTTTACATTTTGTTTTGGTGAAGAGGAAAAGTATTAACAAGCTTTCACAGATTTTCAGTCATGCTGAGGTGTATACATGAACTTATTATTGTAGTCCTTGACCCTTAGCCCTTTCTATGATGCTAATTATTCAGAATAACTGACTGGTATTGTCTCTTGGTTTTCCCTTTGGGTCACATATTTTTGTTGAGGTTCCTCCAAGCCTCTCCCTTGAACCAAGACTTGACCAAGGAACAAACCACATGATCATTTCAGTAGGTACAGACAAAGCATTTGGTAAAATTTAACACTTTTCAGGATAAAATTACTCATTAAAGTAGGAAGAAGGGAGCTTCCTCAACCTGGTATAAAAGCATCTGGGAAAGTCCACCGCTGGCATCATACTTACTGGTGAGAGGAAGAGTGGATGCTCTTCCCTTAAGATCAGCAACAAGACAAGGATGCACTCTTGCCACTGCCCTTCAGCACTGTACCTTCTCATCCTGCCTCAGGTGGCTGTGTGATTTCTGTCTCTCAGTCGAATCTTGATTCAAGGAGAGGTTTGTAAGAGTCAGTTCCAAAACATGTGGCCTCAAGGGGAAAACCAGGGGTAAGTTTAGCCAGGGCAGTAAGGCAAGAAAAAGCAGTAAAAGGGATCTGACCTCACACCATGTACAAAAATTAACTCAAAATGGATCAAAGACCTGAATTAAGATCTGAAACTATAAAACTCCTAAAAGAAAACATAGGTGTAAATCTTTGTGACCTTGGATTAGGCAATGTTTTTAAATATGACATCAAAAGAATAGGCAACAAAAGAAAGTGTAGGTAAATTGGACTCCATAAAATTAAAATATTTTATATGCCATAGGAAGTGAAAACAAAGAATGGAAGAAAATATTTGCAAATCATGTATCTGATGAGGGACTCATCTCTGGGATATATAAAGAACACTTTTTTAAAAAATATATATTTTATTGATTTTTTACAGAGAGGAAGGGAGAGGGATAGAGAGTTAGAAACATTGATGAGTGAGAAACATCGATCAGCTGCCTCCTGCACACCCCCCACTGGGGATGTGCTGCAACCAAGGTATGTGCCCTTGACCGGAATCGAACCTGGGACCCTTGAGTTCGCAGGCCGATGCTTCATCCACTGAGCCAAACCAGCTAGGGCTAAAGAACACTTAATACAACTCAACAATAAAGATAAGTAACAAGCGAACAAAGGATTTAAATAGACATCTCTCCAAGAAGATTTACAATGGCCGATAAGCACTCAGAAAGATGCCGAATACCGTTAGTCACTAGGAAAATGCAAGTCAAAACCATGAACTACCATTTCACATGCACTCAGGATGGCCATAATTAAAAAGAGTGGCAGTAACAAGTGTTGATCAGGATGTGACAAAATTGGAGCCCTAATGCCTGGCTGGTGGGGAACAGTTTGGCAATTCCTAAAAAGGATCAACATGGAGTTATACCACGTCACCCAGCAATTTCATTGCTAGGTGTACTCAAGAGAATTGAAAACGTGTTCACACACAAACTTGTTAGTGATGTTTATAGCATTATTATGCATACTAGCCAAAAGGGGAAAACAGCCCAAGTGTCCATCAGCTTCTGGGTGGGTAAACAAAATGTAGGATAGCCATACAATGAACTAATACTCATAAAAAGGAATGAAGTACTGACACGTGCTACAACTTTGACGAATCTTGAAAAAGCATCATGTTAAATGAAAGAAGCCAGACACAAAAGGCCACATATAACAGATTCCATTATATTAATGTTCATAATAGGCAGATATATAAAGATAGAAAGATTAGTGATTGCTGGGGTTAGTGTGAATCAAGAGCAACTGTTGTTGGGTATGGGTTTCCTTTTTAGGATGACAGAAATGTTCTGGGATTAGACAGTGGTGATGGTTGCGCAACTTTGGGAATACACTAAAAACCACTGAATAATTGTATATTTAAAAAAAGAAAAAGAAAGAAAGACTTGATTAAGCAGTGATTGCCAAGCCATTTTCTCCTATCTCCTGGGAAGTTTGGGACTGATTACCCTGACTGTGCCTCTGATAAAATTCCCTTCTCCTCCCACTGAACCAGCAGAGCCCCAAGGAGCTGCAGTGGTTGGCCAGAGTCACCCACTGGCTATGTGGTAGAGTTGGGCTCAGAGCCTTCTCTGGCATGCTGGCCCTCAGAGATAACTGCCACCTGTACCATTACAGTAACCCTCATCCCAGGCTTTTGGTAGACACACTTTGATTCCACAGACTGGCCTGCTAACTGACTCCCAGGATGTAAATTCTAATGGATTTAATATCTCAAATGATAGAGAGGCCAAGTATTGTGATTAAGACTGTGAGCTTTGGGGGAAAATTAATGGGAAGAGAGATGGGTGAATGGATGGATCAAACAGGGCAAGATTTTAACTTTGTTGAGACGAGGCAGAAGGTATAGAGGTACTCACTGAACTATGCTTTCAACATTTGAAAAATTTGAAAATAAAAATTGGGGGAAATTTTGAACCAAAAAAGGTGGGATTTGGAAAAAGACTGGCCTGGTCCAAATCTTAATAAATGGACTAGTTTGTACAAATTTGGACAAGTTTCTTATTTATGTAGTGACGATAGTAATAATTATTTTCGAACTACTATTGGTTACACTTTGATGTTCTGTCTGTGAAACACCTTCCTAGACTATTCTCTGGCATTAGCAGTTGCTCAGTTAAAGGTAATATTAAAGCAGCTATCTAAAAAACTGTGTAAGCTGTTCTGGATCCTTGAGAAGCAAGCTAAAAGCAACAAACTAGATGGAAATAATTTATAAATACGATGATTCCCTATGTAAGTGCTGATGATGTTCCTTTTCTTTCTCTTTTTCATAGCTTTTCTTGGATATTGCAGGAAACGGTGAAAGAACTAGCCCCTAAATGTGATGTGACGTTCATGCTGTCAGAAGATGGGAGTGGGAAGGGAGCAGCTCTGATCACTGCTGTGGCCAAGAGGCTGCAGCAGGCACAGAAGGAGAACTAGGACGGCCTCGCGGCGGGGCCCAATGTGCCTTAGATGCTGACAAGCCTTTCCTCTGGCCGATGACTTGATCAGGGACCAACAGGCAAGCTTCTGGCTGTCTTCGCCTTCGGGATGGCTGAAAGAGAACCCCAGTTTCTCGGGCATTCTTAGCATTTTGTTACTGGTTTTCAAGGGGAGTACATGAAAGCTCTATTTGGCATATTTGGGTCCAAGATGGGCCAACTTGTAAACTCAAAGCACGTGGCTGGAGAGATCCCCTTTCAGCAAAATTTTCAGTTGAGGCCTGGCCTGTCAGTTCTCTATGGCTTTGGGTCTTGTGGCTGCTGGATTTAACAGCGTATACATGATCTGCCATGTGACCTGGCTGGCTGAGCTCCCACTGGCATGCTTCGGCCATCGCTGTAGTAGACTGAGCCCTCTACTTGATCTCATCTAACTTGTCCTTAACTTGTCATGTTGACTCCAAAGACTTTAGAGTTCAGGCCCAGGATGAAGGAGGGTTGATTGCCAGGGAGCCTGTAGGAACCTTTTTTATGCTCACCAGGAGTGATGTCAGCACCGTGTAGGATTTTCTCAATACCCATGTATCCCTGGGAAGGGTGTCATTGGCGGGACCTGTTTTTCATTTTACATGTGGTTTGTGTTGCTATTGTTAATACTTGTTTTAAGAACTATTGGGTATATGAAATCCAGTAAATTAATAAAAGATATTTATTTCCCAAGAATCTTTGCACAAGGTGTTAATATTTCGCCTGGGAGGCCTACTTGGTAACTTCATGCTCTGCTGGTGGAATAAGGGGCACAGAGTCACAAGTTGCTGAAAGCATCTCTCTAGTCTAAACTTCTTACCAACAGGGGGAAATATATGGAAGATCTGCTGCAATATCTCTAACAGATTATCCAAATTTCATTTGAAGGAATACTCCCAGCGACTTTATCTCAGGATCCCACAGTCGAATGAGAGAGAGGCCCCTTGGGGAGAGAGAGGCCCGCTGGGGCTGCAACACATGAGGGAGATGAGATTCTCTGGGAAGTTTTTTTTTCATACATTCAGTCAACATTTATGGCGATACTGCTGTGGGTGGGTGCTAAATTAATCAAAATGGACTTTGTTGTATTTTAAGATTATATCTCTCTGGAGACAGTCTGTATGGATTTAATAAATTTATCTTTTTGTATTTTAAGGTTAGATCTCTCTGGGGAAATGTGTTACCTGATCATATTTTGTCTTAGTGAACCCCAAGCCTGTTGTCCTTGGTATCTTTTTGTTATCTTCCTCCAGCTCTCCCATTCCATGGGAAGACGCGCCCAGCTCCCAGTTCTGCTGGGGGTCTCTCCTTTGCCATCTGCTTAGACCGATGACCTGGCCCAGAGTCAGGTAGCTGCACCACCATGTCTCTCGCAGCCTGGTCTCTCAGCACATGTTTGGCAAAATGAGGAGGTCGCCCAGCCTTGGTCTCTTACAAGAAAAAGAAACCCCGAGGTATCCAGGCAACCTTGCGCATTCTGACTAATTGATGGCATCACAGAATCCTTGAACCGTAACGGAACCGGAACCACAGTGAGGGCAGACATCGGCTTGCTGCCTTTGGACAGGCAGCCCCTGAAACACCTGGGGCCATGGAGGACTAACTTCTCAAAGTTTGCTAGGCAAGACCACAACCACACAAGGTAAATGATCCCCAGGGGAACCCCAGACTTTTCCTCTTGGGAAGAGCATGTTTCTAGTCCGGTGGTTACTTTCTCCCTGGAATCGTTGGCTAGAAAGAGCAGATGAACATAGATTTAAGAACGACACTTTCCCAATGACTCTGCAGAAAGAGTGACCTCATTCCCATTTCTCTGTCTTCAGAAATCTTGTGTTCTCTTCTTCCCATTAGCTGAATGGGTGCTCCATGAGAATGAAGACTTGGGTCTCATTTTTTTCTGTTGTCCCCAGGGCCAACCACAGTGGCTGGTATTGAGTAGCTATTGGACAGTTCTCTAAATGAATACATGATTGATTGAATGAATGAATTATTGCTCACCTTTGAATTCTCCATTCTTTTGCCTCACCCAATGGGACTTGAGCCTTACACACAGTAGATACTCTATAAATGATGGTTCAGTGAGTGCCAATTCCTGTTGTAGGTACTAAGGACTCAAAGAAATATAAGACACCATTCCTGCTTTGTAAGAACTCAAAGCTAACAAGGGAGGAAAGACATAAATATCTACAATACAATATGGTAAAAGGAACAAGATGAATTCCTACCCATGTCCTGAGTCCTTTAGATCAGGAGCTCTCAACCTGTGCGCGCGTGCACACACACACACACACACACACACGCACCATAAACCCCTTTGACAATCGTGCAACCTATGGATCTTTTCACAGAATGTTTTTAAATGTGTAAAATACATAGGATTACAAAGGAAGCCAATGGTCATGAATTCCAGTCATTAGAATATTAAAGTAGTGATATAGCAACATATGTGCTGATTTATTAATGCATTCTATAACAAGATTTAGCAGGAAACTAATCCTATATAATAAAACCCTAATATGCAAATCAACCAAACGGTGGAATGACTGGTCACTATGAACTGACCATCAGGGGGCAGACGCTCAACATAGGAGCTGCCCCCTGGTGATCAGTGCACTCCCACAGGGGGAGCACCACTCAGCCAGAAACCGGACTTACGGCTGGCAAGTGCAGTGGTGGTGGCGGGAGCCTTTGCGGCAGCACTAAGGAGCAGCGAGCTGAGCTGTAGGGAGCAGCCAGCAGGCAGGTGGTAAGGAGCGAGGGGTCTTGGACTGCGAGAGGGCACAGGCCAGGCTGAGCCCCCCCACCCCCACCCCCAGTGCATGAATTTCGTGCACCGAGCCTCTAGTAGTAACCATAATTTTGACGTCCTGATGAGATTAAACCATTTCTGGAGATATTTTCACGGACATGAAATGTCTCTGATTTCTTCTGGGGCAAAGTCACAGCTGCTGCTGACACTATTGTTGACTACATTTATAATGAAAGGAAATACTAAATTTTAGTTAGAGGTGATTGAAAATAAAGTAACTTTTTCCCCCCAAAAGTTTAATGACTCCCCTTTGGGGAGGTTCCCCCTCCACCCCCCTGCACTTGGGGCCCAGGTTAATGATCCCTGATTGACATGTCCTAGTAGACCTGCATTTGTTTAGGGATAGCGTCTTCAGAGACTGTGCGGCATGTCCTCAGGAGAACTAAACGTGCTTCCTGAGCTTCAATGTCCTCACGTGAGAGGGGGTAAACATAGCAGCCTGGCACGGATATGTGCACTACATAAGCTGCATAGCTAGACCTGGGGATGAGCTATACGCCACTGCACATGTGTGAGGCTGTTGTGTTAGGGTTGTTGTTGTTGTTGTTGTTAGGGGTCCATCTTATCACTGGTATGAGCCACTTGAACATCAGCAGTAAGGACCTCCCAAGCCTATTGCCCAGGTATGTGGAGGGTTAATAATGGCAATTGGGGGAAATGAATTTCTCACCCCCACTTCCCTCCACCCCCACTGTCCTGATAATTCCTCTCTTGCCATTTCACAGTTGAAACTCCTGGTAAATCACAATTTGTTAGAGGAAGGAGGGGCCTTGGAAGAAGCTGGATAATCATAGAGGGATCTGGTAGCTCATATTAGAGGTGAACTAGGAGGGGCAATTAGGGGAGAAGAGATGAATTCATTTCTCGTTCAGCCATGAAAAGAATGAAGCTTGGGAGAAAGTGAAGATACTTTTAAAATCTTCATTTAAAACACACACATGTTTTTATTTATTTATTTATTTATTTATTTATTTTAATATATTTTATTGATTTTTTACAGAGAGGAAGGGAGAGAGATAGAGAGTTAGAAACATCGATGAGAGAGAAACATCGATCAGCCGCCTCCTGCACATCTCCCACTGGAGATGTGCCCGCAACCCAGGTACATGCCCTTGACCGGAATCGAACCTAGGACCCTTCAGTCCGCAGGCCGACGCTCTATCCACTGAGCCAAACCAGTTTCGGCATACACGTTTTTATTGATTTTTAGAGAGAGAGGTAGGGAAAGGGAGAGACAGAGAGAAACATCGATTGGATGCCTCCTGCATGCCCTCTGTTGGGGGTCGAGACCACAATCCAGGCATGTGCCTTGACTGGGAATCGAACTAGTGACCTTTGGGTTCATGGGACTATTCTCAACCAACTGAGCCACACCAGCTAGGGCAATTTTTATTTTTATTTTTTAATATGAGAAGGAAAGAGAGATAAGGAGAAAGGTAAGTCATTGATAACAGTTTGGGGGATTGGCCTAAAGAGCAGGGACGCACTAACAGTACAAGGGACACTTCCAGGGGGTGTCATTCACATCATAGTCTCTATGTGGCCCTGCTCCCATTGAGTCAGCTCTCTGGTAGCTAGCAGGGTCTAGGGTGGCCCTTCCCAAAGTATGTGCTAAGATTAACTGGATGTTCCCAAGTCGGCCAGTCTCTGGAGTAACTCTTCCCTTTAATTCTCAAATGAAATGGCTCCTTTCTCCATCCCACATTCTGCAGAAAGGCCCAATAGTCCAACAAATGCAGCACTCTTTCATGTACTTTGGTCTCTCCTAGGCCTTGGGCTGGGTGAGTCAGACCTTACCTGCGTTCCCAGCACTTTACCCAAGCAGGGCTTCTGCCCTGATGCTAATCCATGGGCCCTGGCCCTGAGGCCTGAGATATTCCTGCCCCTAGTGAAGGAGCAGGAAGGAAGGACTCCGGTTGTGTGCGGGGAGAGGCAGGGGCAGATCTTCAACGCTCTTCTCTAAGCAACAACATTTTTCACCTGCAAAAGCAGTCATCTCATATATTACAATTGACACACACGGACATAGCTGTTTTTACTTGAGGGAGCGGTAGTAAAAATGGAATCCTCTACACATGTTTCTGTATCTAGCTTTTTTGGCTTAACAATACATCGTGGATAAACATCATGATTTATGTCATCTTTTGTTTCTTTTTGTAGCTCCTTATAAGCTAAATAAAATCCTATTCACAAGGTATCCCAATGCTGATAAAAGGTTTGTTTTATAGTGAATTGTGAGGGACCAGGGACAGGACTGGGCACAAAAATAAATACGACAGTGGGATTAGGGCTGAGGGGGTGGAGGAAAGGAGATTGACATTTCCCAGGGGAACTGACAGGTTAGCCAGTGTGCCAGGCCACAGCCATCATCTTAGAACCACTGCACATTGGCTCTGATGCCTAAAGCACCTACTTCAGAGCACTCATTGCTCACACTCTGGCTGCCTGGATCATTTATCTTGGGTACATGTGTCTAATCTGTGTGTTTGTCTATCAGCTCTGCCCCCCACCCTCCTCCCACCACTCACCCACAGCCTTTCCCTCCTGTGCCTGGAACGCAGCAGGCAGCACTCGCTGGAGCACATGGGAAATCCCTCTCTCCTCTCAAACAGAACTAGAGCTAATGCAGCTGGTCTCAGGGGCGCAGATGCTAGTGTGTCCAGATTTCTGAGTCTGCTTGTGAGATCACGGGTACTTCTGGGGCAAAAACGGGGCTTGAAGCTTGGATCTGAACTGAGGGACAGTGTCTGGAGTTCTGCACCGAAGGGAATTGACTTGTAGATCAGCTGGGAGGTTATTGCGATAGCCCTGGTGCCCTGCGCCTCCAGGGGGCCGGAGTCCTGTGGGAGTGCATAGCTGGCATTTTTGGCTTGAGATGAGGAAGTCT